TGTCACTTGAAAATAGTTAAGAGTGGTGTAAGTGCGTCTGCGATGGATAACGCCTGTAGAGAATCCCGTATATTTTGGGTTGGTGAGGAGTTGCAAAAGATGCGTCGTCTGGAAGCGGGCCATCACCACGATGTAATTGTTAGAGTTGTGCTCAAGGTGCTGAAGGTTTAATCCGGCTCTTGTGGAAAAACCGGTTGTGAAGAATGGTGTGTGTGTGCCTTAATGCCATGGAATCTCTCATAACTTTATATCAGTGGCAAATAGGTTCGGTGTAAATTTAGTTTTCAAAGCTCAGCACAAATTAGAAAGGTCAACCCCCTTTCTGGTGATATTCAGGGGCGCCAGAAAAAAACATAAGAAACCAAATGTAACTTTTCAGGCAGGAGTGGTGTACGGGACCCTCTCATTTCGTCGAAACTCGTTTCGTGGAATTAGGTATCGCAGACAACTTTTCATGGGCACACGTTTCACGGACACACGTTTTGTCGACACGATCGTTTCATCGACACTCGTTAAGCGAATTGAACGCTGTAGGGAGTCTAGGGACATCTCGTCCCGCGTGTATCAGTAGTAAGGGTTCTGATGGAGTTGCCTGTTATCGCGTGTGGCTGGTCAGTCATCAAGCGGGGTCGTCTGGGTGGCAGGTTGGTGTGACCATGAATCATTTGGATCTGTCTGAGTGTCCGTCTTTCAGTGACGTTTACACTCTAAAAAAAGGGTGTACTCTTACACCTTTTGTCTTCTATAAGACACCCCAACACTTCAGACGTCGATCTGACGGTACTAACTTTCACGAGAGGCTTAATAGCCGTGTGGTACAACTTATTAACATAGCTAATGTACGTGTTACTGACTACAAAAAAAATAATCGAGGTTTTCTTGGCCCTACTGCAAAACCTCAGTGCTTTCTTTCTGTGGTCTTTGATACGTACTTTAGCTATTTAATCAGTTATATCGCTCCGTTATCAAGCCCCTTGTTAAATGTATGGCCGTCTGTGCGCTGTGCGTCAAACTAAAGTTTTGAGGTGCGTTATATGGGACAAAAGGGTGTATAGTGATACCCTTTTTTTAAAAAGTTCTTTTTTGGTGGTGAGCGTCTTGACGTATATATAAGAGCGTTCCTTGTTCAAATAAGCTATATCCGTTTTTTCAAGAAAAAAAGAAAGTTTCGAGCATTTATTTATTTATTTATTAAAGTACCCTCAGGGCCCGAAGGCATTACAAAGGGGGAGAGCACATACACGAAACAAAGATGTTCGTATACGCGACGCAAAGTCTTACGAGATTTGGTTGTCGAAGAAAGAAGCGATGATTTTGGCGCTGGAACGTGTACGTCTTGATAACACATATAGTGGAATCCAGCTACATATATCTTAATTCTCCACATAAAGGTGGAAATTAGTAATGGTTCGCAAGGAGTCGGACTCTTTTTACTAGAGTTCTTGACGTGAAAACGGGTATAAAAGCTGTGTTTGAGACTTGTTGTCTAGTGCGTTATTTTTATCGTTTCGTGTCTCCCGTTATATGGAAGTTCTTCACCAGCTCGCCTGTGTTTTTAAAGTGCTATTACGGACTGAACGGTTTTGTAGACCGTAAAACGATTTAATGAAATCTTTGTGAAATAATTTGATACAAGAGGGCTATATTCACATCCGTTTTCAGGCTTTTTTCAAACGTATTTTATTTTGATCCACACGCCTGGCTTGTTTGTGTCACGTCGTGTTTCTAGGGGTCCTTCTTTCTCGTTTCCACGCCGGGATCCAGCATCGGGGGTCGAAGTCGAGCTCCCATCCGGTCGAGTAGGGGAGGCTCTCCTTACGGGTCTTTTCCGCCAGCGTGTTTGCTTACACTCCCGAGCTCAAAATCCTTGCGCCCTCGCACATTTTGTTAATGTTGTCATGATCCTCTGTTATGCGTCTAGCCATCGTGGAGGGCGGCGTCGGCGTGATGCGCTTGTAATCGGAGGATCTGCTGCGGTGCAAGGCGAGTTGGTTGAAATCGACGTCAATCGCTGCAAGTTGTTCGTGAAAAAAAAAAAAAGAAGAGCTATCGTGCGGCAGCTTGGCAGCAATCCGGTGTGCCTTGCGGGGTAAACCTGGAAATGGTGTAGGAAGGCCGTTCGTGTACCATACCCTGTCCCTGACGCTGTATGGAGCTGGTCGATATTTTGCATCGTAGGAACGCTTCATGCCGTGAAGGTAAGCGTGGTTCGCGTTTGCAGCGTCGCAGTTCGCGCGGACGTCACCGACCTCGTCGGGAAACGGGGAAAATTCCATTGGTCGACGTGGTACAAAGTTGAACAGGAGTTCGAACGGTTATCTCTGGAGTCTGGCATACGGCTGCTGGTTCACTCGAAAGCTGGTTGCCTGGAGATAATCGCTCCAATGGTCGATGTCGCCTATGACTTTCTTTCGCGCAGACATGGAAGGATTTTTCCGTTGGCGCGTTCGACAAAGCCGTTAGCTTCGGGAGCCTAAGGTACTGTTAGGGATGCTCTGAATGTGCCTGTCGGCGAAGTACCGCGAAGCCGAACGAGAGGAATTAGGACCCTGTCGTTGTCGGTGATGACGGCTTGCGGCGTACCGAATGAGTACGAGTTCTATAAATCGAAGGACGTGCTCGGTCGACTTGTTAGGGACGGGGCGTGCGACAAGCGAGTGGTGAGGCGGAACGCGGTGATAAAATACCTGTTGCCGTCGGTCCTCGTCTTGCGGAGGATCTTGCGCCGCGGCTGCCAGCCGGCGACATATTCTCTTACAAACGAGAATAAACAAGACGCCGAAGTACCTGATTCTTCTAACGGACGCACTCTTCACAGCGAAGGCAATGTCCATACCTCTCCAGAAAAAAATAAAATAAAAAAGTGTGTTTCTTTTAATGGTATTTGCATCTTGCTTTCCAAATTCAAACGACTCTTTTCTCTCTCCCCCTCACTCTCTAATTTACACCCCCTCCCCCATCCCCCCACCCCTCCCCTCCCTCTTCCGCGCCACGCCGCCGCCGATCCGTTGATCCCCGCGCCGTCAACACGCCGCCGCCGGAGGTACAAACACCGGCGCGCCGCCGCCGGCGATTTCTGACCGGCGCACAGGTCTATTTGTACTTAAAAAATAACGTACCGAAGCCCCTTTTCAATTCCACGGGGATGTGGCGCCATCTATTCACTAGCATGAACAACCTAAATGAAAATACATCCGATATGCACGCCTGCTCGCGAAGAGGCGGTTTTCGTTTCGCCCATTTCGCACAGGAAGCGTCTCCAGCTCGACGCTCGCCCTCCCGCGGCCGAAACGGGAAGCGCTCTAGTGAGGGTCCCCCGATTCTCCTGCTCAGCGGGCATGGCGCAACTGCTCGCGATCATGGCTCGCGAAACGTCGTTTCCGAATGCAAACAACACTCCTCACTGTCCCAACGTAGTGCTGCAGCCGGTATGGGATTGTGTCTTACTGGAGAGTTTTAGTATTGCGCATAGAAGCAAACGCAAGCGTTGTGCATTTGCGTTAGAGTTGCGTGCCCCACAACGTGCGTGCGCCTCATCGCCATGCGCCATCCAAGACCGCAATTTCGGGCTCCGCTCACGCGCAGTGTGGAACGCGCAAAGCTAACGCAAACACACAGGGCTTGAGTTCACTCGTATACGCCATATTAAAACTCACTACTGTTTCACCGGCTTCCAACGCCAACGAAACGTGCTGCACTGAGCGGACGCGCAAGCAGGTAGGCGTTCCTTCGAACTGGAAAGGCTGAGATTGGCAAAACGACGGCGAGCAAATACAAAAGTAAATAAATGTTATGAAAAAACTAGTAATTAAAAAAAAAAAACTCTTTTTTTTTTACTTTTGGGCAGTTGGTCTGGAAGTATATTAGCGGCCACTTTGGACGTTTCGCCGATTGTGAAAAGTCGCGACTTTGATAGCACAATATACTTTACCCACAATTAATGCAATTTTACATGGATTTCTCACATTAGCTAGAATGTTTTCATTGATTTTAGACTATTTTTATTTTATTGGTAATTAAAATGCAGCACTTAGAACCAGTGATGATAATTAGCAGAGTTTTCATTGTAATATTTCTTCGCGCGTTTAAAATTAGATCATAAGCAACAAATTATATTAGAGCTAGAATAATTACTTATTCAAATATTCGAATTTTAATATTATTATTATAATACAAATTGCGGCATGTATGCCTCTAATTAACGCCAAGATCACGAGAATAATCTATTTAACCATAATAGTCTTTCCAGAAAGGCATAATTCTGTTTTCTTTTTAGCATATGAAAAACTCTTACATAGTTATCAAGATAGACAAACAGTTAAACGCTGGATGTAATATGAAGTCCTACGCGTCACGCGGTGCTATAAGAACACACACTCACACTTCAGCTCTCTGACTGGGATTTCGTCTGGGTTGTTGCAGTGAGAGCAACGTTTATTACTTTATGCGTTTCGTGGGCATATTGTAAAAATTTGAATTATTCTCTCATTCTTGTGCTGGGATAATTGTCATTATTTCCCATGACAATTATCTGAGCGAGAAAAAGGCAGCAAGAACGCACATATATCAGCACTGATTTTTCAACAACGGCGAATTTCAGCCTGGATCGAACAGTATGTCACAAAATAAAGTTTCCGCGAACACCTTTTCTAAGTAAATAATTACGATGTGAGACACATCTTGAGTCACGAAAGAATCCGAAATTAAGACATCTGTCGAGAAATTAAATCCAAAATAGAGGTAAGTTTCGGTTTCGCTCCAAAATGAAAACCCGCATCCTTCCGTAATTAATACGCTAAACACCGTTCTTGTTTTCAAGTTAAAGAGGTGACCTGCGCTCATAAAACATTAGCTTCCTCGTATTACCAGAAATAATTTATGTCGCTCAGTGAAGCCAGCACACTAGACAGGCTCAACAGCGGCAGGCATCTCTGACCCTCACTAAACCCGCCATCTTGGAAAATGAGTGGCGCCACCTATAGCTAGTTGGAGTCAGTTGGAGTCGCGATCGAAGTTTTCAAATTCCTCGTTTAAACTCGTTGAGCCAACTGTACAAACACTACATTCCGCCGAAGTTACTTCTCTTATTCAATCTAAGTACTGCTTGCTCGCGTACAGGCAAGACAATGTTGAAATTCAATGATCAAGTGAGAGAAATACTCAAAGGTTCGTGAATCATGATTTTGGACTCTAACGTCAGCTTCTCGGCTTTGCTTTCGAGGAGCTTTGGAGATCGCTCTTTATTCTTCGAAACCGACCTCATGTGTGATAAAACGTTACAATATATATATACTTTTTTGGGGGGGGAGTCAAAACTTGGGAGAAAGCGCGAAGCGGACGCTGCTTTTTGCGCGGGCGTGACTCGCAGCAACGTTCGCTCGCTTTTTGGTCTGTCGTCTCATTTGTCAATGACCCCGCTTGTATCACTGCACGCGGACAGATGTGAACTCTTTCCTGACCACGACCCTCGAGAAGGAAGAGCTGTCGCCTGCCGCCGTGACGGCCAGGGAGGAACTTGTCCAAAAGCTCCAGCGACTCTTTCGCGAGCACCCCCACCAGTTCCTCACGCTGGATCTGGCCAATGCGGAGCAGATGCAAGGCTGGAAGCTTCCGCGGCCCTTGTCCAGCCCACATCCCTACCTGGACATGCAGATAGGAGCAGCGCTGGCCTCGAGAGAAGCTGCTTACACGCACGACAATAGTCCAGGTGAGGCGATCATTTCGTGTGCGTGTCTTCTACTCCACTGAGAATGGCAGAGCTACGGTGGAAATTTTTCTGAAACCATGCATGGCAGTGACGTAGCCGGCGGAGAAACCTATGGGGCTTCAACCCCCCTCCCCTCCCCTCCCCTCCCCTCCCCCCCCCCCCCCCCCTCCAACAAAAAAAGAAAAAGAATTTTTGTTATACTATATACTATTAGTGCATGGTCCAGCATCACAGACAAATTGTTGTCCGTTGTGTGACCATACGGCACTGATTGCCTTCATTCAATTATTTGAACAGATTACGTTTGCTGCGATACCTTGCCCATCGAAGACGCAGCAGATGAAGTCGCAGAGCCATCCACAGGGGAACTTTCTCGACTAGAGACCAGGCCATCTGTCGACATGGACGAACAGACCGAAGATGGTGAGGATATTGCTTGCTCTGTTTCCCTATAGTCGACTTTTTATGCAATGAAGTGCATGCAGCTAAATGCTACAATGTGCTTTCCACGCTTTTGCCATCTAACCAGTTTCTGGATTACATGCTGTGACCGTTATGTTTATTGTGTTATCTAACAAAATTAGAGTCGAAATGTTTCCTGACGACCAAAGGATGTAGAGCTTGGTACTGTTGCTTGCAGGGTCTGTCGTTGATATCCCGGCAAGCGAACTTTCCAAGGCAGACAAGACAGGAATCCTTGAGAAAAAAGGAAAAGGTGCACTTTTGTTTCTTTTCTCCTGTCACTTCACGTTTGAGACGTAACCCTTACACATTGCAGGTGCATAATTTTCTTCAAAAGATAATACATCCCAATCTGCTTTTTATGTCTTTTTAACTGGATTGATTTCTCGCTGCATGCTACGCCACGCAGGCATCATCATAGTGATTGTCGGGAAAGGCGAACGCATGACGACGCCCATAGGGCGTCGTGCATAATTTTTTCCATAGAATAGCACCATGTTCCAGCCTTTACTCGCCTTACTTATTACAAAAGGGTTCCATCAATCTCCTAGAGACATTCTTGAATTTAATATAAATAAGGGAAAGAACATAAAACACCAAGACGGACAAGACGATTTCCCAGAGATGTTTCGAGGTGTTGAATGCTGTTACTACACATCTCTTTATGCTAAAAAAGTGTACTGAAATTTTACGTGTTCGTGCAGAGAGACTCGGTGGACTCCTAAGCCCATTTCAGAAGAGGTGGTGTGCTATTAAAGACGGCATGCTGTACTTGTATGAGAAGCCGACGGACAAACGGCAGAAGGGGCAGATTCCACTAGCCTCGTACGAGGCTCGTCCCTTTGTTTACTCCACCAAGGACACTTCGAAAAAGGATGCTGCATTTGAAATTGTCTGCCCTGGCAAAAAAACTTACCAGGTGTGTTTACTCTCTCAGCACATATAAAGTATCCCTTAGCTTTTGTTTGTGTTTTTACTTGTGAAGTTTCATTCTATTCCAATGAAAAATCGGAATGTTTTGGCTCTTTCACTCGTGTCACTCGACATCTATCACTCTTTTTGAAATCTGTAGTGATCTTGAAAATGCATCGGCAGGAGCCTGTAGTAGCTCTGAAAAGTGTTTTAAGTTCAGTGAACATGCTTGGATTTAAAATGTGTGCTACTAGTTCTTTTCAGTTGCGCCTGCCACAACTGTATGGAGGCCGAAAACAGTAGTGGGTTAGACCAACTCGTCTTTGCCAAATAAGTACACAAGACTTTGACAGAGCCAAATTTATAGACAGAAAAGTTTTGAATTGTGACTTATTGTAATCTTTTTTCTGTATGTTCTAAACTTGTACACCTTTCCAGTTCATCGCCTTCAACACCAAAGACATGAAACAGTGGATTTCAGCAATTGAAAAGAACAGCAAAGTGACGCCTTCATCAGGTAAGATCTTGTGCGCGACGTTTCTGGTATCTAATAGGGACGCCTGCTCCTCACGGATGTTAAACATGCCAATTTGTGTTAGTTCTGCCCTCTTGCCACACTTGGCACCTGTTAAAGGGGTACTCCACCGATTTTTTGAGCTACCTCAACTAACTATATTTTCTGACTCCCCGGCCTTTACTCTCTCCGGTATGCTATTTAGAATCGCGAAATTCATAATAGTTATTGCGAAATCGGCAAATGAAAATGATGCAAAAACCAACATTCAAATATACGCGCGCTTTTCAGGGCCGTGACATCAGTGGCAGGCAGGCTTGTCAGTCCAGCAAGCAGCCAAAAAATAGAATATGCCAATCATTTGTTCCATGCTGGAGCGCGGGTACTGCAGCGAGCTTCCCAAGCATTCTTTTGACACCATGAAACTGCTTCGAAGCAGTTTAAAACAAAATCTACAGCCCAAAGAGTTAACCCCTGCCTTTCACTGACGTCACTTTTTCATTGTTGCCAGTAGAGACTTCGATCTTGAAAAACACGGTGAGGACCAAAACTGTAAATTCAATAACTTCGCGAAAAAACAATATTTTGACCTAATATTTGGGATACTATTTTTGCGATGTTTGTTGGTTAGTTTAGCAAAATTTCAAGCAAATCGGAGACAATGAAAAAATCTGTGGAGTAGCCCTTTAAGCGCAACTACGGGTTACTAGATTAGCATTGAACCAATTGCCGGCTCCGCACTTACTACTTGCACCTCTGTCGAACCGTAGCAATGACCTGGCTATATACAGGGCGTATTCTGTTTTAGGCATTTAAGATTTGTTTTAGAAAAGCCGTGAAAGCTACACTAATGCGGTCTGTGCAAGGTAGTTATACCGCCAAAGTGACATAGTATAGTGGGTCAATCATCATGATAAGTTGAATGATTAACTCAAATTTGTTGATTAACATTTTAATTAGCAAGGATACACATGTGGTTTCAGTTACAGGCAGACATCATCAAGAACTACTAAAGTAGTAAACTGTAGAAGCACTTGGGGTTCTGTGGTACGCCGAAGTTACCACTTGTGCGACAAGTGCTAGGCTAGCGATGTGATGATGCACCCGTGCAGTTTCTCCATCTCTTATCACCCACGTTTTCCCATCACCAACTTTGAGCTTGTTGCACGGGTGGTAACGTTGGTGCTCTACTGTGCTTCCCACGCACTCAAGCTATTTCTAAAATTTATTGACTTTGCAGTTTTTGATGATGCTCTGCAGGTTTCCAATTGGTACCATGTTTATTTTCACTTATTAACCCCTTAACCGTGTTGGACAAGCCTAGCTCGTCAACATGAAGCCGTCTCCAAACTGCTCAGGACGACTACAGCTCATTTGCCTTCCTCGGTTCACGCACTCCATCGTTTTGGACGAACCAGGCTCGCTCATGGCTTGCTTTGAGACTCTGCCAACAGATGGCAGCACTCAATTTTTCTTAATTTTTCTCCCATTCTGTTGATGGCTGTAAACTTGATTTGAAGGCAACAAATGTAATTTTGAAGACAACAATTCAGCAGTTGAAGGTCAGAAATTCCCTAAAACTAAAAAGGGGTTAAATGGATAAATAACAAATTTGAGTTAATTATTCAATTCATAATGACATTTAGCACTTTATTTTATGTCCCCTTGGCCATGTAACTCGCCTGCACATGTTACATTAGTGCAGCTTTCGCAGTTCTTTTTTTTTTAAACAAATCCTTAAAGCCTAAAAGAACAAAAAACATGGCGAACATGTTTTACCATGAGGCTGCTGTAAAGAGGCAGTTTGGCCAGTGCAGTATGACTGCTGGCTGGGGTTGACAAGCATCATGCAACAGTGATTATGTGAATGCACACCAGTACACCAATATAACGCCCCTCGGTATTGAAACTGGCAGGGATGGGTGTCATAATCAACACCTCCAACTCTGGCGTACAAGCTTTCTTTTTTGCACCACCTACTGCCAGGCTAGCTGTTTTGCACGACACCTCCCCTTGGTTACTAGGAAGATATCATAATTGTAATGTGCCAGAAACTTCAATTTCATTATGCAATAAAAGATAGGAGCAGAATATTTCTTCTTTCTCTCCTTGGAGAACTTGCTGGCTTGGTTGTGATGCGTCTAGTGCCAAATCGGGCTCTTGGTGCACTCCTCCAAATCCCACGCATTGAACTGTGAGATGTAAGCACTAAATGCCAAATGTTCAGCTTTTACTTAAATACAATTAATGCATTGATGGATATTTGGGTTTGAATTTGTGATCAATTGGTGTTAGTTCCATGAAACTGGAACTCAGAGTCGCTTCTCGTATAGGGCACTGCTAAGTGTAGGCTTTGAAAAAGGACCCTACTCTGGGAAGTTACGCCTTCTTTCTCAATCAAATGATGCAACATGTTTTTAATAGAAATGCATGCCGAAATAAAGTGTGACAGGGTACCCGAATTTCAATAAATCGAAGGTGGTGTTTTCTTTTTATTTGCATCGGAATGTTTTGTTGTTTGATTGTTACCATGTTTGCCTAATATATCAGGACTATCGTAACTCAGATTTTAAATAATAGCCATATGTAAGAAGAATACTATCTGAAAAGTATATGATGGTGATTAAATTATTTCATGAGATAGAGGCCTCCAAATTTTGCCTTTTGTCGTTCGAGCAGGCATGTTTGGAAATTTTTTAGAAAAAGGAATATAATTTAAATAAATATTTTACTATACTATATTACAAGCAAGCATACCTATAGTTTCTTTTTCTAAAAAGTATTAGAATTCTCCTAATTGTATTTTTTTAGTTATTCCCTTTCAAACGTTCCCCCTCCATCAGTGCGCATTAATGCAACTGTCCACCTCTTCATGCCTTGCGACTTTTCCTGTCCCCAAATTTTTTTTCTGGTCAAAACTAAGTGTGGATTTGTTTATACCAGACACAAGACAGTGGCATATAAAAACATCAGTTGATTTAAAAATGTCGAACAGCCACCCTTTGGTCTCGATCTTACGTGAAATCACCCAATAAATTCCTAGTAAACTTCGCTCGGCGGGGGTCGCTCGCATGCTGTTTGATGCTGCACCTAGTCGTTCATCAGAAAAACATTGTGTTCGGTGCTGGGTATATTGGAATGAAAGTTACAGCAGATAACCTATGCGCTAGGTAGAAATTCTTGCACGAAGGAGCTGTTGCTAATTTGCTAGCGCAGCCTGAGGAAAGGTGCTACACCACTGACCTTTAATACAAGACATCTTAAAGCTGCTTTGCTCTGGTCAGTGGTGTAGCCAGGGGGGAGGTTTGTGAGGCTTCAGCTCACCCCCCCCCCCCCCCCCCCCCCCCCCCAAGCCGAGCAGGTCCTATATTGTGCACATGCATTTTGACACCCCTTCTCGCACCCCAAGTCATGAACATCCGCCCCCCCCCCCCCCCCCCCCCCAAAAAAAAAAGAAACAAAAAAAAACAATTCTGGTTACGTTATTGGTTTGGGTTGTTCAGCATGAATCCGTGCATCGAAAACAGTACCAAGCACGAAGAGTTTGTGTGCTTCAGCGAGATCCAGACCTCATTGTCACCACTGCAGTTTTTGCAACCCATTATAGAGCACGCCTTGCCCGTCGGACGCCAATCACTTGTCCCACTGCGGTCGGTCATCGTCACACAAACATCAACAAGCGAGATAACCGGGGTGCAAGTGCAGGCCAAGACTCAGTCTGGCAATGGCTGCCTGAGAAGCGCGCCCAATGGTGGCGGCTTGGGTAACTGATGTGTTGAAGGCGTCTATACTAGACATTCTTGTAGAAGCAGGCCAAAAATAGCAGCACATTATGAGAGAAAATTTACACTTCAGCATTCTTTAACGCAGATATTTTCCCCGTCATTACCCCCTATCGCAACTATAAAATGCACAGTCATTAGATATATGAGAGGGAACAGCCCTTAATACTCATTTGGGGTACCTGCTGGCTATTAAGGACGTTCTGGTCCAAACTAGGGCTGGAACATAAAGTTTGGGTTCCAGTCTCTTAACTCTTTGACAAATCGAGCGATAATGGGGATAGTAGAGACCGCAGTCATAGAAAAAGGGCAGACGGAGCGTTGTCGCTTGTATGATTCATGACTGTACACCCGCAGGCAATACTAAGGTGAACGCAGGACCGTCAACCACTCCGGCGTTCACCTTCATATCGCAATAAGAAAGCGAGGTGTCACGGTGGCCGCGTCATCGCACTGATAGCACGGAGCGGTCGATGGTCCAGCGTTCACCTTCATATTGCCAGCGGGTGTACCTTGCGGTCACCAAACATTCCAAAACTGGTTTTTTCTTTGTCACACGCTCCCCTCAGGCTCCGAGTCACACCTGGAGGTTGGGAGCAATGGCAGTCACTCCGCATCACCATCCGGATCATCCCCTCTGGCAAGCCACACCCCTCAGCGAGAACACGTCAATAGGGCGTCGCCGAAAGTTCCGGCAGCACGGGACTCGCCCGAAATTGACCGGGAACTCTCGTATGAGTACGTCGGCGACCGGACCACGGCCGTCGAAGACGCCGACGAGGAGGAGCCACTCTACGAAGATGGTGAGAGCTACCTCGAGAACTCTGGCCAAGGCCACAAGGATGCGGCAGAAGACGAAGTGGTGGAAGGGGACTATCAGGACTGGTACCTGGCACTCTGGGACTGCCTCGGGGAGCGTGGGGATGAGCTCTCCTTTCGGAGGGGGGACATGCTCAAGGTGCTGAGCAGGGAGTATGACAGGCAGGCCTGGTGGGTCGCAAAGGCACAAGGACAGAAGGGAGGCGTAGGTTTTGTGCCCAAGGACTACTTGATGGCGGCATTTGAGAGGGTGGAGTGAACACTGTCCGGAGGCTTGCAAAGTCTCTCAATCTTGACGAGACCCTGTTCTGGGGAGGAAGATCTGTCGGTTATTGCCGTCTTACTTCAATTTGAAAAGTGTATTTTGCACTAAAAAGGTGCTTTTTTTTTTTTTTTTTTTTTTTTTTTTTTTACTGAGCTTTTGTACATTTTAGCCAACGCTGCCACTGTAGTGAGTTATGGTGTTAAGAGCACTTCAATTTGAAAAGTGTATTTTCCACTGAAAAGGTGTTTTTTTTTTTTTTTACACTGAGCTTTTGTGCATTTTAGCCAATGCTGCCACTGTCGTGAGTTATGGTGTTAAGAGCTACTACACATAAACAGATTCTCAAAATATTAACGAAACTGCTTCATTCTTGATTGTGTTGATTGACTACTGTTCATTTACTTTGCTTGTAAATTTGTTTCTACCAAGGACCATTTGGTCAAGTTTGGTGGAGCAGTCTTAGGGCTACAGTCAGTGCTTTATGCAATGTTGAGCTAGGTATGTTTTTAGCAGAAATGTTAGCAGCTAGTTACCTCTTTTTGGTAAGGTCTGGTTTTATGTAGGTGGTGCAGCCCACCTGCCATAGATCACCATATTTATCAAGATGGCTATTTGGTTTGTCTACTATACAAAAAAAAAAAAAAAAAAGGTGACAAGAAACACAAGTGGACAGGCTATCGGTCAGTGGCATGAGCAAAGCTGTGCAAAGCTGTAGAGTATTCCAAGTTTCTGTGTGCTTTTCATCTGCTTGCAGAGGCAGCGCATCTTCAGGGGCATGCTGCCACCAAGATGTGGTGGCATACCTTATAGCTGTAGCTATCCATTTTAGAATACTTAACCAGTGGCATTCTTTTGGAGCGAGCTTATACAACATATGATCAGAGGTGGTTCTGTAAGCACCTAGATGTCTTGAGGAGAAATGTATTTGCACATCTGGTGAAAAAAGCTATGTGAAGCATTAGGTAAAACTTTTGCATATTGCAAGAAAACAGCAGGCTACTACGCAAAAAATGGGTGCCATGTTGCACAGTTTATTATCGCAAGGATGCAGACATGGGCACCTTCAGGCGCACATGGTTCTGCAAGTTCTGTACAAGGTGCAGCCTTGAAGATTTTAACAAAAGCAGGGATCTAAACCCGACAGGTCATTGGCCTATAGATGTCATGGAAGTTGGGACACTCTGCTCACTGGCACAATTTTAGAGCGCAGCTGTTGGGCGCCCATTTCAACTGCACATGTTGAATTATGGGACCTTGTAGACCTATACATAAATTCAATTCCCTGCTAAATATAGCGGAGCAGCTGAATTGGTGCGTAGGTCTGACGTCCCATAATGCAACACTGTGCATTCAGTGCCCCGCCAAGTTTAGCGGGAAAACTGATGTCACGTGACCTCAACACCAATTCAGTTTCCCCGCTAAATTTAGCGGGGAATTGAATTGGTGTATATCGCCGTCGGCTTAACCACGCTCATTGCATTATGGGACGTCCAAGACCTATATGCCAATTCATTTCCCCGCTAAATTTAGTGGGGAAACTGAATTGGTCTTCGTCATGTGATGTCAGTTTTCCTGCCAAATTTAGCGAGGAAGCTGAATTTGTGTATAGGCCATGACATGAAGTAGTGCGACATCATTCTCCCCGCTAAATTTAGCGGGGAAACTGAATTGGTGTTGAGGTCACATGACGTCAATTTTCCCGCTAAATTTTGCGGGGAAACTTAATTTATGTATAGGTCTCATGTGGCAGTCATGCGACGTCATTTTCCCGCTGAATTTAGCAGGGAAATTGAATTTGTGTTGAGGTCATGTGGTGCAATTTTTCCAGCTAAATTTAGCAGGGAAACTGACGTCATGCGACGTCACAGGCTACGGCTTCACGAAATCTAAAGCAACCAATAAATGTTTCACGTTAAGACAAACGCTGCATTGCATCGTGAGGAACCCTCTTCGTCCTCTCTGGCCTAACCTCGAGCAAAAAATATATATTTATATAGTATATATTTCTCAAATTCTCTACCATGGTATATCACAAAATCAAAGTAGCTCAAGAGCTGCACTCCAATTTCGCATTGCAGAGAAGTGTAAACATCCATTTTTTTTGTTACCTGCTATTCTGCACATGCAGGGAAAAAGCTTTTGTAGGACAACACACTAAAGGAGGGATGTCGTGTGGAAGCACCCTACCGACGTGTAGTGCAGGGCTATTCCCAGAGAGCCCTGGGGTTCAGACAAAGCTACCCGTACTTATCGCTTTATCATAATGGAGTGTGTATTTGCATTGAAGTTTTATTGCCAATCCAATGTAAATGCAGGGTTATCACATGGCTCAATATATTAGTAAGTTTAGAATGCAGGAATGGACCTTAACACTGGTGCATTCAATATACTTTCACATTGTACATTTACGTCCAAAAGATGCCTCGCTATACTGTACTATTTATAAATACACTATTCAAAAACTACTAAATGCCGGAACACTATTACACAACCCTTTCCTAATTGGACAAAGTTTCGCAAGCAATAGTATTCGAAACACAAAAAATGAAGCAGCAAAAACGCTAATACTATTTGTACTGCAATCGCGTGCAAAATCCAGGCTGTTAACATGTCCTTCAGCAGTCGCCTTGTGTGGCATGCCTTTATTCGCCGACTGCCGAAATGACATTTGGTAAAATGTGCAAAATATCCTGTGACACGAAATGCTAATCAATGTCCAAACAAGCAACTGAGGTTAACAGGCAGTGATATTATAACACAAACCAGCAAATTGTATGTTTTCATTCAACACGGCCCCCCAAGGACTAAACCATCCCAAGAGGCCACTGTTCATTTTGGTCAGACACTGCTCGTTGACAAGGAAGGGAGTATTGCATGGCAAGTCAGGAGCTATTCTTGTTGTCAGCAGAGTCGGAGGGCACCGGGTGTAAAGGTACTCCTTCTGGAACCCTTTGCCTTCTGCGACACGTTGAGGTCAGTCCGCATTTGATGCGCTTTGGGGATAAAAAGCAAGGAAAATCGAGACACAAAACGAACACTGTCGCACACCCTTTTCAAGTGCATGCGTTGACAGTCCACAGGATGTACTATACTAGTATTCACCTCAAATACCGTAGTAAAGATGTAGGTGCATCTCAGATTAGCTTTGTCATTTTATCAAGACGTACATGTTTTAAATGCCAAAAGCATTTTTTTTTTCCTTTTGACAACCAAATCTTGTAAGAACTACTTTGTGCAGTGCATGAATATTCAGCCAAAACTTCCTTTTCCTTGATGTGACGAGTCTAGTTAGGTAGCATGTGATGGTGCCTCACTTTTATAGGATTTACAACTTTGTGTTTTCATCACGCTCACCAGAAATTGGAAAGAAATAGATGCTCAGTATTTATAAAAATGTACATGGTCCCACGAATGCACTCTGAGACTTGACGACTTGCATATAGTATTACCTCTGCTCCTACTAAAGAGAAATCTAAAAACAAGATCTGCTTCTATTCCAAAACACAATTTGACAAAAAAAAATTTTTGGGGGGTTTTACGTGCCGAATGAATGACGGGCATCTGGCACGCCCCAGCGGAGGACTGAGGATTAATTTGGACCACCTGAGGATCTTTTGACGTGCAACCGAAAACTCGGTTACCACGACGCCTTCTCCGCAATAAGCCTCCATCAGATTGCAGGCACCTCGGCCACGATTCAAACCCACCACCTGGGGATCCGTAGGCTGGCGCTTTGCCTCGGCGCCACGGAGGCGGCTAAATACAATTTGACTATTTAAACATTTTCTCAATGAAGGCTAACTACATGCAGTTTAAACATTTTCCTCCGTGAAGCCTCACATTACACAAATATAGGAAGTACAGAGTGTCCCCCCCCCCCCCCTCCAAAGAATTTAGTGTTTTTCTCACCGCAAAAATAAACTACTCATTGCCACATGCCCATCCTCCATCCAAAGGTAGTGCAAGAGGTCAGAACCACCTGCCAAAGTTTCAGCACGAACCAATATATTATTTAAAAGTTATAAGTGATTTTCTGTAAATTTCAATGGGAAAATGGGGTCAGTTTTCGGTTTCTGGCATCATAGAGCTTTGTGTATTAGAGAGCTACGGCGGCCACCATTTTCCTATTGGCATTTTCAGAAAAGCACTGATAACTTTTTAATGAAATATCGGTTTATGCTGAAACTTAGGCACCTGGTTCGGACCTCTAGTGCTACTTTCGGACTGAAAACGAGCGCTCGGCAATGCACAGTTTATTTTTGCGACGAAAAAACCTTGTAAATTTTTTGGGGGGGCCCCCTGTACATATATATTAACAGAGTCTATTTTTGCGGGCTCGATACTTCACGAATTTCGTCTAATACAGATTGAAGTCGGCAAACATTTCTTTTTTTTAAGGTATCATTATGATTCTCCACAAGGAGAGATGGCGGGGCTTCTTTTGCAACACCAATTTTTAGCGACATTGCCGTCCACATAACTCGCAAAAATTAAGTCATTTACTGCCTGCGTGATTTTGTGAAGGCTGCCTATAAAACAAAGTTTTTGGCGCGGCCACGCCTGAAACGTGCAATGCACACCTCAGAAAAGGATCCCTTGGAGCTGACCACATAGTAAACAGCATACGCCGGAATCATGGATATGGAAACAAGTGACAGCAGCCAACCAATCATCTCTCCCCACCAGGGGTAGAAGTAGGTCTTCGCGTACACGGGAGGCTTGTACTGAACAATCGACGATGTGAATATCGTCTGGAAGGAAAAGTGCATGTTTATGTGAGCCTTTGGCCATGGCATCCCTGGCTCAATGCTCAATGCATTGATACTTACGATACAAAAGAAGGGTATGAAGACAGCCCAGCCTAGTTTGAAAAACAGGTTTGGGGCATACCCAATCATCTCTTTGATGTTGCTGGCGAACCTGCGAGAACCTGTGGGCAAGTAGCACGGATGATTCGAAGAGCAAAAAAGATTGAACCAAAGCTTATGTCAAATGGAAGGAGTGTTTATAAACTACAGGCTTTAAAATTCAGCAACACTGGAGGTTATTAAGACTTGAAGGCTTCACCACCTGGTGGTAGTTAAGGAATTGCACAGGGTAAGCAAATTGGCAAAGGAAATAAATCATACTTCTGGTTCTTAATTTCTAGGCTAGGTGGCACAATGCTACCGCTCGTTATAGAGGGTACAGCCGTTACCATTCATCCGTTCATCCTTGGCCATACTCACCATAGAACCAAGAAATTGCAACAGTTTGAAAGAAAACGATGGTCAACAGTGTGATTCCCGAGACGGCATAGCTGTCGACGAGCTGAAACAAGTAGATGCCACCCTGCAAAATGAAACATGGTGGTGAAGTTGCAAGCTGCTCACGAATGACGACCGCAAGGGCAACAGCCGTACCTGCATCACCATGGGGAGGCCGAGCAGAAACTGGATGGTGCAGAACACCAGCGTCACATATTTGCGGTACTTCACAAGGAACGGCCAGACATCCATAAATCCAGCAACAAGTGCCTCCGCTGTGCAGAACTGAATATAGGAACAAAAAGCCACCTGCTCATGCCAAGTGGGCTAGACATGTGCCCCAATGCCGGTTTCAGAGAAAAACTAACCAATGCAGTTCACCATTGCTTTTCAATGTTTGTTTTTTTCTTTTTTAAAGGGATAATACTGAACCAAAACTTGGAGCTCCCTAAACAAGTCTGGAGCAATAGGTGAGACTCTGCAAAACCCCCAAAAAATCACTCGTACAGCGATAGTATATATCTCTAACGGATGGTCATATTTTTAGAAAACAAGTGCGTGATTGAACACGGCCGACGAGACGTGACATCACGATTCTCATTCCCTCTCCTTTTCGCTTCGTCCCATTGAGTTGGTGAACTGAAGCGAGGAGGAGAGAAGTGAGGCCGCTTCCCCTCATTCTCAACTTTTCCAGGAGGGTCGTGACGTCAGAGTCCTCGCTTGACTGCGCCCTTTTCCAAAAATACGGCCATCTGCACGAGATATTGATGTGCGAGCGAAGTTTTGGAGTTCATAGCGTCTCGTTCAACGCTTCTGCGGCCTTATTTTGCGAAATCTAAATTACGGTTCAGCATCCCTTTAAGCCAGTCTTGGGCAGTAACTAGTTACTAGTAACGCATTACCGGTAACTAGTCCCTTTTCTCAGCAGCTTGTAACTAACTCGTTACTACTTAGTGAGAATAACTTATAAATGTAACAGGGTTACTATTTTTCGAAAGTAGCTGTAAAGAGTAACACCATTGCAGCTACTTCTCAGAGTTAGGTACAAAAATATTGCAAACCCGACCACCAAATCGTCTTGCAACTTGCGAGAGAGTCGAAAGTCCTGGTACGGGAAGGGCACAGCAAAAATTGCTGCAGAAACCGTCTGGAGCACGAGGGAAAAAAATAAAAATAAATTAAATTTTGGATGACCCGCAGATGTAACAAAGTGCGGCATCCCTAAAGCGTTTTTCTTTTCTTCGTCCGGCGAAGGGAGCCAGTGCTTTTTGCAGAGGAGTTTTTGGTGATTGTCGCCCCAAAAGCCTGCAGGCTTACGGCACAACCGATTTTCCGAACCTAGTCTTCTTGCTGCCAAGTATATGTTTCCTTCCCCTCTAATTTTAATCGTCCAAATTCCAGATACACTCTTGCGGGATCTCGCAAGAGTATATGTTTCCTTCCCTTTTTTTTTTGCAACCCTTTTACCAGCCTTGCCTCCTGTCCCCCACCTGTTGTCCCTTCTCAGGTCCCGCCACTAGAAAAAGAGTATTCGCTCAAAACGTCTGTCATTCTGCTCGTTCGTGTGTTTTCCTGAAATTGAAAAACTGCCCTTAGCCAGGACCAGGGGCACTTGGCATCAGTTGATTTATAGATATTCACATCGTCGGTTTTCGGGGTGGTCTCTTCTAGTTCGGGTGGTGAGATTGAGAAGCGCAAACGTGTTCGATCTGATTAGGAAGCAACGGAGAAAAGATTGCAACAGCCGTTTGAAATTCTACACGCTGCGGTCATTCGTACCTCGATCAGTGCTTATTTTGCACCGCTGCCGTGTTCCGCGTATTTGACAGAGGAATGTTGCCGCAACGTTGCTCTCCAAGTTTCCAAGCGGAGATTCGTGTTTTATGATTGTGTGCACACAGCATAAAACGATTTGACCGACGAGTGCATTAGAGTGGTATAAGAAAACATCTACAAAGGCGATTGCAAGGTATTACTTATATTGTTATTGACTTCACATTTGCACAATATTTATTGCTTCCGTCCCATTTCGCCTCACCAAAGAAATCTGAAGTTAGAATCGACTGATTGTAAACTCGCACCATGATTAGACATACACGAGATCTAGACACGTGCTGTTGTATTTGTGTATACCTTATGGTGGTCGCGCTTATTTTAAAGTTCTTCCCGCATCATCAGCACGTATCTGCATCTCCAATGTCAAAATTTTGAAAAACTGAATTAGCCTCTAATTTTGCGAAAGAAGAAACTCTATATTCTTTATCATATAGTAGTGGATTTACTTGGATAATGCCTTAAATTATGGTGTTGTCCAAGGAGCCATTTACGGTGAAAATTGAAATGGGAAGAACCAAACATATTAATATTAATTATTAAGAAAATCTTAGTTTTTCAAAATAATCAGATTGACTACCGCAAACAATCCGTCTTATAAAAAAAAAATATCTATGCTAATTTAAAAGCATATTAAGGACGGTTCCCTTTTAATGTTTTTTATCTTTTTGTAAAGTAACGACGAAGTAACGGCGTTACTTTAGCGAAGTAACTGTAACAAGTTACTCTTTCAATTTTGTAACTGTAACTGGGTTCCTTTTTTGCCTGAGTGACTGTAACTTTAACACTTACATTTTAGTAGTAACGTGCCCATGACAGCTTTAGGCCCACACTGCTCTCCTAAAGATTTTAAAAGAAAGATGTGGGAGAAAGATTCACACCTGGCTGTCAATACCAACAGTGAGCAGCATCAGGAAAAACAGAACAGACCAGACAGGGGCTGCAGGCATTTTGGCCACAACCTCGGGGTATGCCAGGAAAGCTAACCCAGGTCCTGAAAACAGTGGACAATTCGGTCACCCAATCGCTTTTCTTCACTTAGAAAGGCGGCTCCAATGTCCAAAGCCAAGCTACTCGGAGGTTTACCTTAATATGCAAAAAGCCAATGAATGCTGGTTACAGCAACTAGAACAGATGTGACCAGAGACTCACCAGACTTAACAACATCACCAACGTCTTTTCCAGAAATATAAGCCATGTGCCCCAGAACCGAAAAAATCACAGTTCCAGCCAAAATACTTGTCATTGGGTTGACGAAACACAGGATCATGGAGTCTCTACGACAAAAAGACAAAATAGTGTCAATCTAATGATGCATACAAAACTCTTTCTCAAAAAGGATAAACAACCTTCATTGGCAACAATGAGATATATTTAGAAAGAAGAAGCTCCTTTTTTTTGCGGAAGACAGGGAAGAGAAGGAGAGGAAGAGGCCGAGCCTGGATCATCACAACCGCCATTATTCAGTGTATTCCTGCCTAATGCAAATTATAAATCATTGTAAATATTCACTGTAACATTTTGGTGGAGGTGCGCAAGCTTTCCCCTAGCTCTACACCTCACCCAAACGACCTGAAACTTCACAACCGCCGCCTTCCTTTTCCAATGGCAATGTCTCTACCAACCGGTAAAGCTCAAGGCACTCAGCTGGCACCTATACCGCCGTTTATTTTGCAACCCTGCAACCCCGGCCATTTCACCGGATCTGGAGACGAAAATGTCGAAGAGTAGATTAAATTAATCTTTACAAGAGAATAAGCATCTACAACCGGGGGATTCACCCATAATGCTAGCAAATGTCATATTTTACTTCAAAGACACAGCACGAACAAGGTTTCTCACACACGAAGAAACCATCACATCATGAGATGCGTGCAAGAACCAACACAACATCTCTTCGGTCACCCAACCGGCCGAAAGCTCCCCGCCAAGCAAAAGCTTGCTTCTGGCACCGAGACAGCCACAGAATCCCACATCACTTATATCCTGGACATTCTTGCACTTTGCCAAAAAGCCGACCCCGCCACGACTGACGTCAATAAGGTTCCTCACATCTTAAAAGGTATTGCTGACGATGCCTTCCAACTGATCGTCTTTACAGACTGCATCACTGTTGAAGCAGTTGTCAATGAGTGCAGGCACTTCGAGGAGGCTAAAAAGTGCCGAATCACGGCCAGCTTCAAGAGCCTCACAAATATGACGGCAACATTGACATGCGAGGGTGTGCATGCGTCCGAAGGTCAAATAACGGGGACAGTCCACCGCAAATCGGAAGCTATGCTGCCAAGCTCTACCGCTAACCAGCCTGCCGATCACCCTGGCACAGCGGTTCCAATCTCTGCTGTACAAGCGATCATACAACAGCGGAGCAACGAGACAACCGGCGCTGGCCATCTCGTCCCGCATACTTTTCGCCCTCCGGCAATGCACCGGTTCAGCTACAAGACCTTGTGGCATAGAGGACATCCGACGACCGACCAGTCTGTTTTCATTGTCACGATACCGGCCATATCGCTCACTACTGTCGCATCTTGGAAAACGACGGAGCCCACACGTTCACACCATCTAGTCGCCGTTGCTCCTTTGGAGATGGTTTCAACCCATTGCCTAACTGCACCTCTCACGAAGAACAAGAACTCAATCTGCCCATGCAGTACTGCCGTTCACCCTCTCCACACCGCCGCCAATCCCTGTAACCTATATCGTCTCTCCGAAAACTTAAGCCGTGCAGCTACGGGAAGTGGGGCTGCACCATTGCACTAGCCCACAAATCCTCTTCGAGACAATATCACGACCACATAAAATCAGCTCCTTATCACAGTCGACGGTACTCGCATTATGGCTCTCGTGGACACCGGTGCTGCCATCCCCATTATGAGAGGACCTTAGATGCAAGCTCCGGAAGGTACACACTCCCCCGAACTCCAAGCTCCTCTGTAGCACGGACAGCTATGTTATATCTAGGGTTCGGAGTTTTCGCTTTAAACAGATAAAAACCGATAAAAGTATGCCAAATCCATTTTCGGAAATACGGTTTTAACAGATAAAAGTATGTCTAATCCATTTTCTAAAATTCGGTTTTAACGGAAAAAGTTAGTTTTTTAGGGCCGCGTCGAAGTGGGGGGGGGGGGAGGGAGGGAGAGGGAGAGAGAGAGAGAGTTTTCAAGGTTCGACATTGTGCGATGTCTTCGTGATCGCCCTCTCTCAAGGTTCAACATGCAACAAGAGAGATCTTGGATTGGCCTTCGCAAGACATCTGTGTCCTTTCTGTGATCGGGCTTAGTGTTGGTGTGTCAAGTTTTCGATCCTAATGCACTTCAGAGGGCATCGAGGAAAGCCATAAATACCTTTCTTAACACCCTCTCTCAAACTTCCCTGTGGTTGAAAACATAAATGCAATGGATTTTTTTTTTCTTTTGCCATTCCGTTGGTTCCTGTAACGGTCATCACCTCAGACGGTCACGTTGTCAGAATGGGAAGGAAAAAGAAGTGCGCTAAAGATTATGCCCGCGAATTCCGCGATTTTGAGGTGTGTCCTGACGAAAGTTGTAGCGAAGACCACGTATGTATATGTGTTGTTATTCTTTGAGTGATCACAAATATCACAGCTACAAGGATCATCTGACCCGGTGTCCGATGGTGTTTCTTTCCTATTCACCAATAAAACCGGTAAACTTTCATATACACCAAAAAAAAAAAAAAAATCAATTTTAAAATAAACATTGAAAAAAGTATGCCGAATTTTGAAAAAATAAAAACCGAAAACGAGGAAATCTAGTTATGTCACCCGCTGGAATGTGCAGCGCTCGAATCACCGTAAACCGTGAAACAGCACACATTCTCTTTACTGTGATCTCGAGTTGTCCCAACACTTTGACCCTCGGCTGGGATTTCTTAGCTTCTCATGTGCCCTTATTGACTGCACCACAGGAACAATAGCCCTTGACGTTGCTATTTCATGCGACCCTTCTGAACCTAATGTCTCGAAATACCTCCGCTTGTAACCATGGCCATCCAGGTTCAATCGAAATACGCTATAATCCGAATGGCAATTACATTCTTACTCCTAACAAGAATATATATTTCTCGATGGAACTTGCCCTCCCACATTGTATCGTCCCTATCTCCAATGGTGGAACCTCTGTCTGGATAGTAAACATTAGTCATAGCCCGCAGATATTGCCCCAAGGGAGCTTCCCTGGCAACTACTTCACTTTATAACAAGAAACAGCTCCTGCACAATCTTCTTTGTGAGTACCATGACATCTTTGATATCGAAAGTCGCCGTCTTGGTCGCGCAACATCTACCACACACTGCATCGATACCGGACTCGAGCCACCTGCGCATTACCGACCTTACCGCTTATCCGCCACCGAACAGCGGGTTATAAAACAAAAGGTTGACAGCACGCTTTCAAAAGGCATTGTGCAACTGTCATCTAGTTCCTGGTCGTTGCCTGTAGTATTAGTGCGGAAGAAGGATGGGTCATGGAAGTTTTGCGTGGAGTACTGACGCTTAAACAAAATTACAAAAAAGGATGCCTATCCACTCCCACGTATTGATGACACCCTGGACTCTTTGCATGGCGCTGAATATCTTTCTACCATCGACCTTTGCTCGGGGTAATGGCAAATTAATGTCGACGAATGAGATGGTGAAAAAACTGCTTCCATAACTCCGGATGGCCTCTACGAATTCAAAGTTATGCCGTTCGGTCTCTGCAATGCCCCCGCTACCTTTGAGAAAATAATGAACCATCTTTGGAAGGTTTAAGATGGTCAACCTGTTTGTTATCTAAACAATGTAATTAATTTTTGGAGCACTTTTTCATCCCATTTTACCCGCATGGCACAAGGATTCGGCCCCTTTTCCGTAACACGGGTCTGCAATTAAATTCGTTAAAATGCCGCCTCGGTAGTTGCCACATGAAAATATTGGGTCATCTGGTACACAGAAATGGTGTCCAACCAGACTCCGATAAGGTTAGAGCCTGTCCGAAAATTCCCCAAACCACTCTCATCTAAAGACGTACAAAGCTTTCTAGGATTGTGTTCATATTTCCGGCGTTTTATGTCATTTTGAATACATTGCACGTCCACTTGCAGACCTACCTAAAAGAGGTGTTGCTTACATTTGGCAACCGGACCAAGCTGACGTGTTCAAACTCCTAAAAACTGCTCCAACGTTTAACCCCATCTTAGGCCATTAGGATGACTCTGCCCCCACCGAGCTACAGACCAATGAGCCAGTGGCCGCAGAATAGGCGCTATTCTGGCTCAAAATTAAGAAGGACACAACTGAGTGATTGCTTACACTAGCCGCACACTTTCTTCAGCTGAGAAAAATTACACAATTACTGAGCCAGAGTGCCTGGCTGTCATCTGGGCAGTCACAAAATTTCGCCCCTTCTGTCAAAACTGTCAAAACTGATTGTCATGCCTTGTGCTGGTTGTCGTCTATAAAAGATCCTGTTGGTCGGCTTGGACGATGGGCCCTTGGACTCCAAGAGTACAATTTTACCGTCATTTGCAAATTCGGAACCTGCAAATGACCATTCCCGCAGAGTTGTACGATGCTCTGTCATCCGGCCACTTAGTAAGTGTGCTTAGAACATACGTTAGAGTTAAGCAACGATTTTACTGGACGGCCATGTACAGAATTGTTAAGCGCTATGTCTTTTCGTGCGATTCCTGTCAGCGTCGAAAGACGCCATCCTCACGCCTCGGTGGACTTCTCCAACTTTCATCAGAATACCCGTTCTAACACATAGGCGTTGATCTTCTTGGCCCATTTCCCACTTCCTCAGATGGCCACCGCTGGATCGCAGTTGCTGTCGATTACACCACACGCTACGCGACCACGAAGCCTCTCCTGACCGGAAGAGCTGTTGAGGTTGCCCAATTCCTTCTGGAAGACATCATTCACAAGCATAAAGCGCCTTGAGAACTTCTCTCCAATCGAGGGCGGCCCTTTGTATCTCGAGTTGTGAGCGAAATTTTGCACCTCTCTTCCACTGTTCACAAGAGAACAACTGCTTACCACCCGCAAATGAACGGGCTGGTATAACACCTTAAAGGGTAACTGCAAAGAAAAAAAAGTGTATTTTGAAACAGCCTAATTGGGACAAGCATGTCACAAAACAATTTTTCCGGCAAAAACAAAATTTTTTACAGCAATATTTATTGCGCGAGACTGATTTTAGTTTGCGGCTATTTCGTCCGTTTTAAATTGTGCGCCACAAAGTTGGTATTATACGTCACGTAGTGGTTGCTATACGTCACCGGATGACGTATAACAGCCACTCCGCACGCGTCGTAAGAGCGCGAGTTTCAAATGTGGAGAAATTGTGACTCCGACTAAATTACGTCCTGTGGCGTAAATATTGCTAGAAAAAATTTGTTTTTTCGTGGAAAATTTGTTTTGTGACATGATTGTCCCAATTAGGCTGTTTAAAACAACACTTTTTTTTCTTTGCAGATATCCTTTAACAGGACACTAGCCGACATGCTTGCCTTGTACACCTCCTGTGACCATCGAAATTGGGACTGTGCACTACATTTTGTAACTTTCTATAACAATTCATCTCGCCATGACACCCACCCTTCTCCCTTCCATCTCCTTTTTGGCCGTGAGCCAACCCTCATGTTGGACACTCTTTTTCCACTACAGTCTGAAGCTACGCTTACGGAGCACGCATCAGATGCAATATGCCATACTAAAGAGGCCCCCCCAACTGCCACAGCTTCGTACACTGGACTCCCAAGAACGGCAATGTTCCCGCTACAACAGCACGCAGAACACGTCATAGTCTCCAGGTGATTAAGTTTTAATCTGGACACCATGACGTCGTGGATTTGCTGAGAAATTGCTCCCCCGCTATTGTGGTCCTTATCATGTTCTCACTCAAACCAGTGACATCAATTATGTCGTGAAATATGTCGAGCATTCCCAGGATAGGCGGCACAGGCAAGTACAGACTGTCCACAGTCTCAAACTAAACCCTTACATTCTCCCATCAGACGGCGAGTCGCCGTTTCCTCCTGGGGCTGGGGGGGTGGGTGGAGGGGTGCGTAATGTGAGAAGGAAAAGGCTCGTTTCTTCGCGGAAGGCAGGGAAGAGAAGGGGAACCGGCCGAGCCTGGACTACCACTATCGCCATTATTCAATGTCTTCTCACCTAGCGTAAATTAAATCACTGTAAATATTCACTAACAATATGTTGCAGAATGCTATGCCACACAAAAAATGTATGTAGACAATGACACAATTTCAATTTGCTCTTGTACAAAAACGTCAAATCTCAAAAGCACAGAAAAAAAAAATGGTGCTTCCTACGCAAGGTTTAATCCTGCGAGTTCAAATTTATTGAGAGGGTCTGCTCTCCCCAGTTTTAGGAAAGGTCCTATCAAACATGTCAAGTCAATTACGCTATCCAAACAATAACAAGTGCCTCACCTGAAGAAATTGTGGTTAAACTTGTTATAGCTGCCTAGGGCAATCACAGAACCAAAGCCGATGCCAAAGGTGTAGAATACCTGCGTGGCAGCCGCAATCCAGACCTGGCGTGGAGAACAGATTACAGATGATTAGAAAAGGCAAACGCGAGCGAGGCTTGGGAAGTACAGCCGGGTGATGCAGTGGCAATCAGTTCGTCGAACAACATTTCACTGGCACGGTGGCGTTTCATGAACAGTTTGTTTCATCAAAAGGCTCCTGTGTTTGTCTCATCATCAAACCTTGATGCAAGCTTGAGCCCAAGGTTATAGTAACCCATTTTTCCCGACCAGAGTGGTGGAAAGCAAGGGGGGGGGGGGGGGGAGGTGGGGACCGCTCATAGCGCAGTTTGTTTGAAACCCTAGGATTATGGTCTGTGAATTTGTTTTTGGATCATCAGAGCCACTTGGGTGGCTCCGTTGTAGTTCCGGTATGCTTCCAGCAAACAAAACAAAGCCGGTAATCCAATCGAATCCACTTAGTAGAAGACTATGTTGCCGACAAAACATTACGAAAGCATGCATGTCCACGAAACGTCAGTGTTGACACACGAAATGTGTCGACGAAAATTTGTCCACGACACGTGTTTCCCCAAAACAAAACGGACCCCATGAGACAAAATTTACCTGTGGGTGCAAAAGCTTTTCCCACTTTGGATATACGTAGAACAGGAGGCCAGTGCCTGACCCTGGCAGAGTCACACCCCTGATGAGCAGTATCGTCAGCACGACATATGGAAACAGGGCTGTGAACCAGATGATCTGAAAGTACGCCTTAGGTGAACACTGTCATGCATTGCAATCTTTTTGCGGTATGTGCGAGCATGACGTGCAATGACTAAAAAAAATGTAAAAGTTTACGGCGTGCCGAGCGTATGCAAGTGCTTTTTTTTTTTTTTTTTCTGTCTGCATTGCACAAATTAAGTGGCAAGAAACATTTGAGGAACTCGAGAGGTGGACAGGCACTGACCTTGCCACTCTTGTGAATCCCTTTCCAAGTCACAAAGTAAACAATGACCCAGGCCAAGAACAGGTAAAGGGCAAGTTCCCCTCGGACGGTCCCCATTTCGTGGAGTCCTGCCGAGGCCTGCAAGACCCTCCTCCTGACGAGAAAGGGATGATAGGAAATTCAGGAGAAGTAGCACCCATTTCTATGTGCCCTCAGTCATAACCTTTGGGCATGACTGCTGTGTGCTATGATCATTGTCAGTCGCGCCAATTAATTTTAATTGATGGAGAATTAAAAAAATAACACGGAAAAGAAAAGGCCAAAGTACCGAAAGTATGCAAGTGAGCTGGTTTGGTAGCCACACCCCATCAAATTGAGAAAAAAGAAAAAAAGGTGAGGATAACACAAAAACTGTGTTGGGCCCATTTTCTTTTTCTTTTCCCCAGTCTTGAGTATTTAAAAGCCATACTTCATTATTTCAAACTAAAAAAAAAAAAAAAATTAAAAATCTTTGCAAGAATTGCAATGGGTTTGATCGCCCACAAACGGTTTGGTGTTTCTCCTGATAAACTGAACATAGGGCTCTTGCACGAGACCATGATGCAATGCTGCTACCGGTTCATAAACCTCACTGGAACCCCCGGAATCCATTTGAAGGCATTCGTCGCTGTTACGCTATGTTTTGTGTGCTTTGGGGCCACGTTCGCACTGTAAATTGCTCGTTCACTCGAGGTCTAAAATAGTCTGTTGCGCCGTAAATAACTGCTCCAACCGCAAAAGTCGGCAGCAATGGAGCTATGGCCAACAGTATTGATTTTCTAGAATTACGGAAATAGTTAGGAACCAGGACAAGGTGACGCTTGACCAATCGGTTCGCCGGCGTTATGAATGGCTCCGACGGATACGCCGGCACAACCTCGACCAGGTGGGTAAAGACGAGAGCAGAATGCGGCAAATCCCGGGTGCATCTCCGATCCCGAGAGAAAGTAAGCGACAAAAGAGCGGAGAAAAAAAGCAGACGAAGGGTTAAGCATGTGCGTTGCTGCAACAGGTTCAGGTTGCCTGAGTGCTTGTCGGCTTTATTTAATTTTGTCAATGCGTGATTTTGGTGTTTTTCTACAAAGTAAGAGAGAAAATAACAAGATACAGACCTTACAGGTGATGTTTTGCTAAAAGCTTTGTTAAATAATATTCAGATCTACTATTTCTAGCCTAATTAAAGATGTGACTAAAATTTCCAAATTTGATAATGCTCAGAGTCAAGCGCCATCTATCGTGTGGTAAACGAAGCAAGAGAGAGACCCAACTGCGCCTGCACAGTCATTCCTCGACCATCGTCTGCTGAACGGGTTTGCTCCTGGTTGCGCTTTTTTCGCAGAGCAGACTTTCGTTTTTTGGCTTCTCGAGTAGTGTTTACATTGTCTGCGATCTATAACTCGGTCGCTATGCCGAAGGGCTACAGTGTACCAAAGTGCCCAAATTACAGTTTCTGCAGTTCGGTGGTTAAAAAGAAACAGTTGCAGTTTCACCGTTTGCCACTCGATGAACCACGTCAAAGCACTTGGCGTAGGCTCATCGGTTTGAAGGACCCCGGGTCTAAGGTCATTCGTGTATGCACGGAACATTTTGACACCGAGCGTGATTACAGCGACATTCAGTGTTCTTCGCGAATGCGGGCAGGTTCCAAAAGCCCTCCGCCGACTCCGATAATGAACTGGAGTCTTCATAGGAAGACTCACCGCACTTTCCAACAGGCATACCAGCGTATGGGACTAGTCCCATGCTGTCGCTGTAGCGCAACTTATCTAAGTGAATTTCGCTCAGCTGCGATGTGTCCAAGCCTACCGCGGCGATAAGAGGCGCCAATTCAGAAAATATGTCGGTGGCATCAGCGCCATCAGCGCAGTAAAACCTACCGGCACACCGCCAACCTGCCGCCGCTAAAGCTCCCATTCTCTTACTCCCGAGAAAACTTCCGGTTCCGATGCCGGCGGATGTCACGACCGTCAAAATTACGCTGCAGCTTGTTTTGCGACGAGTTGGAGAGGAAGAAAAAGTCAATATTTCATTTAGTTTTTTGTGTAGAAGTTAATTAACCGAAACAAAAACAGATGCCTGTTCAGCATTCAGTGAACATTGAAGGTTTAATGTAAAAGTTATTTGGCAAAAGGTAAAAGGTCATTTCATGGTTCCGTTAAATCTAGGCTCTCTATACCGACGACAGTCAAGCTTGAGCGCGAACTCGGCGCTGTGTGCGCTTCTTCGTTTGCTTCGTGATTCGTGTCGGCGTCCGGTCGGTGAGGTCGCTGCAAAAGCCTACTTTGCTCAAGCACCCATTTGGCGAATCATTGCCACTCAACAATGAAGAGTCCTGGCACCACCGGCACCTTGACTCGGAAGACTAAGGTAATCTCTTTGAATCAAAAGTATGCCATCCTCGACGGAGCGCGCATAATCGTAAAGAATGCCGTCCACTGCCGGCATCCTCCGCGGGGCCGTCGCAGCTGTTGACACGGTCCGTACATAGCAGGATCTTTTTTCGATTGGAGCTTCTCACAGTTGGTGAGAAGCGGCTCTGATCTAGCAGGACAGGTGCAGGGAAGCCTCGACCACTTTCTGCAGGCTCAATAAACATGTGCCCGTGACAACCCGTGTTATCTTTTTTTTTTTCATGTTATTTGTATGAGTTCATATATAATGAAGAAGCGGATATAGCGAAGCGATTTCTGATTCCTGTTGACTTCGTTACAACCGATTACTTTCAGTAGTAGACAAATTTGCTGCAACAGGCTGGATCAATATTCATATGTGCAGCTACTAATTGCAGAGGTGAGGTTCCAAAGCACCTACTCCCAGAATTCCTGAACAGGATTCACAAAGGACACATTTCCAGGCAGAGTTCCATTTGGCTCCAGGCAGCTGTCGGTGTTCCAGTAGTTTCCACACTTGTCCCAAGGAAGCTCCGACGTGAAGGATGACACGAGGTAGAACATGATCCATGCCACAATGATGATGTAGTACACATTGGAGAAGCACACCATCACCATTGATGCCATGCCAACGCCTGACAAGAGAAAACACACCGGCGTTGTCTAGAAGTCATGCCACGTCAACTATGTGCTGATAGCTAATAGTAATAGAGGTTGAAGCTGAAGGTGAGCATATTGGTTGCAAATCGGCAATAAGCTGACAATATAAACACAGGTGCAGGTAAAACACATCTTCCATCTACCAACAAATTGTGTCTCTATTTAGTACACCCTTTACCTTGCACTTAGTTTTTATTCTCAGTTGTCATGTTCTGGAGTGTGCTCATCAGCACTGAAGGCTGAGTGCACATACAGTTTTTCCCACATCATAGCCTGGACTTGTGAGACATCTGTCCCTCCCAATTCATTGTGCACTGTAAGCTATAGCTATGGCTCCAGGTTGTTGAATAAAACTGAAAAAAATCCAAAGAACCCTTTCAGTCAAATTTCAATAAAATTGAGATGATAAAAAAAAAATCTGGGACTTCATATTACTTTTGGTAGTGTCGGGTCAGAGGCCCTGAAAAGAGTACACTCGCTCCAGTCTCATTTCTAACCATACAGGATTTATTGCCAGCGGTCGTTCAGGACAAGGGGTCAACGTTGCTGTATATTTCTAGGCTGTGATGGTGACCAATCTACCTATGTATGTGCTAGAGCTAGCCACAGTTCTGGTTGGGCCTCTTACTGTGAGGAGGACAAAGTGTTTTCACAACAGTGAATGCCATATCCTGAAGATTTCTTGTAAATATTACTCCAAATTTCTCAGAATTGGGAATTCAACAGAAGTAGACTTCAATAAAACATTGGATTTCTAATTTTTTTTACATTAACACAAATGCAACTCTAGCTGTAGCGCCCATGAATGCTATCTGCATAGATTGCAGCAGGTTCTTTAAGCTCATCAATGAACAAATATCAATTTCAAGCAGCAAAACTGTAAGGCTGCTTTAGAGTGCCGACAAAGTGGAGTTTTGAGGCGGGATGCATGTGTTAGCGAGGAGTGAAGTGGGAAAACAATAACGAGACCTTTGAAGATTGGCACCATGTTCCAAACCCCAACACCACCTTTGCTCACATACTGGCCCAAAGCCACTTCCAGAAAAAAGGATGGAATGGCAGTCAAGATGAGGCACGTAAAATATGGAATCAGGAAGGCTCCTAGAAGGAAAACAATACTAGCATCAGAACAATGCATAAAGTTGGGCAAGTTGGTTTGGCATCAGGAAAGGGGAACAGCTCGAAAATAAACGACTCGTCCCTCAATTATTTTCTTTTGAGCGTTTGGAATTTTCTTCCTTTCCTACTTCTTTTTTGGTGGAAGGGACAAGCTAGAATACGATTGCTTGTGTGCTTTTGGAAGCCTTCCCGGGGGAAAAAGTTTGATATAGCCAATATGTTGTTCGTTATAAAACATACTTCTTACATGCATTTTTGTTTAAATGTTCTGCGAGTTCGATATCGACAATAATTCGCTGTACGTGGGTTCGTTCTACATGGGTTTCACTGTATCTACAGGGTCGCCGAGATAAACCCGGAAAATTCACCATATTCAGGTAAACACACGGAGGCAAAGATAATATGGATATCAACCGTTTTCTGTGCTTTGCTCGGTTTGCCGCAACGTCTTTCTGGCTGAAAGATTATCTGAATGTCTTCCCAAGCGAAAATCAGTCCACTTCCAGCTGGATTATGGAACTGGAAACAAGGCGGTTCAGCTGGATTCCAGCTGGACCCAGCTGGAATCCAGCTGGAATCCAGGTGGACCGCCTCATTTCCAGTTCCATAATCCAGCTGGAAGTGGACTGATTTTCGCCTAGGTTGGCAATGCTGTAAACTTGTGTCTTCTTGTAGCCATACCACACAATGATTTGCTTAGGAGACTTTCCAGCACGAAGCGATTCAAGTATTGCTGCCCTCTGGTCATACTCCCTGCTCATTTTTGAGCAGGTCATGATTTGTTTATCACGCAATGGTCCGCTGTCGAGTCATGTGGCCGCAGGAGCACATTATGGCCGGTTAGCTTTGCTGTCTTGTTGAGAGACGAAATCTGGAAAAAGTCCGGATTTATCTCGACGAACCTGTATATTGCAACCCATAGTTATGCTTGGTCGCAATTCTTAGAAGCTGTTAATGCTGTATTAATAACTTAGCTACTATTTGGCAAGATCTGGGAGACTATATATTGGTATAAGGGCTAAAGGAAAGAAAATACAAGCAAGAGCTGAATGGAATATATTTTGTTATCTTTTGATCCATTTTGTATGGTAATGTATAATAATAATAATAATAAAAATAATAATAAAGCTTTTATTTCTCTTCTAATTTTACACTGAAAAAAGGTGGAAATGAGGACAAAAAGCTGCTACTGCAGCTTGTTGAGGCCCTAGCTCCCACACACACTTTGGCGGGAAAGCAGCTAAAAATAAACACACTAAAACAAAAAAAAACACAAGCAAACTACTCTCATCAATATATTGCATATGTAGAATATTAATTAAAGATACATTTGCCACTCACAAAAGCAATTTTACAACACATGTGTTGTAAAATGCATTACACTACAAAGCATCACATAGAAAATGAGACTGTAATAGTATGTTTTTTTAACATTTGGTTTGTCTTTCCAAATATACACACATCATTAGCTTCAATTTCATTATGTAAAGATGGCAACACATATTTTAATTATGTAAAACTGTAATTAGAACCGGGTATTGAATAAGGGAACTCATTGCATCTGGTATCTTGCTAAACAAATACCAAATATTGAAAAAAAAATGATGATAATGGCTACCATCAGTTTTTTTTTTGTTTCTTTTCAATATTATCTTGTATTTGTTTAGCAAAAGCTAAAATATATTGTATTTAGTATTTTTGACAACTGAAATTTTGCAGGGATTATTGCTTTTAAGAGTGCTTGACACTATTGCAGTGTTTATTCTTACATGATTTGTTTTTTGCTTTGTTGTTGAAGCATTTCTAAAAGTATGTTATTCTGTTTGCCTGTCGATACAGATTATAAAAAAATATTCTGTTATTTCATTTACTTAGTGGCACTCAGGCCTCGTCAGACCATTCGGTCTTCTGGCTTGGTGCCGCAGACATAATTTAGTGCCTAAACAAACAAAAAAAAAAACATCTTGTTTTAACAAGTGACATACTTATGATCTAACTTCATTAAGCCTGACAGCACAAAAGTAAAAAAAAATACTGTTATTTTTAATGCTATGTTATACACCACTAGCAACCGAAACTTGTACAGCTGTTCAATAGGAATGACACAATGCTGTAAAAAGTGTTCCTTAGAAGGATGCAAAAAAGAACATTTGCAATAATTCAGGGAGCCCTCTTTTGGGTAAGTAATAGTCTTGTTATGTTTCATTGTTTGGCTCCAAACTAAATAACAATACACAGTGAGTGTGTGAACCAAAGAATAAAATAAAAGTAATTTCGCTCTTGTTGGCAAGACAACAGTTTCTAGAAAGACAAAAAGATTTGCTAGCTTTTATGTACCATGTTCAGCGTGCTCATTCCATAACAATAATTCATGAAAAGCACACCCAGTGTTTTCACAGACTTTAATTGCCACCTCTAGTGTTGACGAACTTAACGCTGTTTGAAATTAGAAAGCTCGAGGTACACCTAAGCGTTTCTTACGAGTTAATAATGCAAAAGCATACAAGCCGCTCGTCCCCTCCCTTTGTCGTCTGCTCGTCCGCTCCCTTTGTCGTCTGCTGCGTACCAGCGCGCGCGCGCTTCGAATCTCTGAGACCATGGCGCAGCGGCCAATGGGAGCCCCATCGACGCGCGCCAGCCAATGGAACGGAAGGCGCACGGAAACTATCTGCCGTTTTCGTGCTTTCAACTGATGACGTCAGCTCGCTCCATGAGACAGTTAATGCTTTTGCATTAATAAGATATTCATCTACCTCGAGGTCGAAATAGTACACGCTTAGTTTTATCGGCAGTCATTTTTTATCCATTTACTTTGAAAAACCTCCTATTACTTTGCTTTCTATATCACCCTATCACCCGCTCAGCGGCCTTTAATAAGACACAAAATTTGCCTGCAGTATGCACTTTTCAATGTCATTTATAAAGATTATAAACAAGAGTGGCCCGAGCACCCTATCCTGAGGCTTTAATTTTTTGAATGGTTGAAATATAGTCATTACCATTAACAAACCACATACAGTAGGTAAGATTTAAATAGGTCTAGAGCGGTTCCATGAATACAATAGTGTTCTAGCTTTTTTAACAAAATTTTGTGATTAATTAAGTTCAACGCTTTCGAGAAATTAATATATGCACCCGTAAGTTCTTTGTTCTCAAAACATTCTATATTTTTCTTGCTTTTGTACTCGCAGCGCAGATTCAGTTGAACTATGTTTTTGGAAATTATGCTGACTATTTGAAATCACTGAGAATCTTTCTAAGTAGAAATAAAGTATTTGATGACTTATTCTCACAATACCTTTATAAAACAATTAATAATAGAGAAATATGTCTATAGCTTTTCAACATACCCTTGTCACCACCTTTAAACAAAGTGACAACTTTGGCACACTGCACCGCTGCAGGAAAAACACCGAAATGATGAGAAAGGTTAAATATATACGTTAACCCAGGTGTCACTATGTCAAGGGTATACTTAATCGCTTTAATATTAAAATCGTCCATGTCTTCGCTCTTGGAGTTTTTAAAAACTGCACACACTTCACCCTCATCAATCGGACTCATAAAAATTTTTTTCGAAATTATGTTCGATATAGCTGCAAGCATCAAGCCCAAGTAGAGGCGCACCTATATCACTAGACTGACCGACAAAATGATTATTAAAAGCATTCGCCAAAGCACTGGTCGTCTCCGCAGATTATTTTATCCGATATAATGATGGCGAGGACGCAAGACTTTGTTTACCCTTTGCCAAAGTATGTGCAAATTTCTATTATCATGCCACGCAACTGGGTACTAAACCAAAATTAGGTACCTCAGCACGAAATACCAAAGAAAAAAAAAGTGATGCTGGAACAAGGTTTCTAAACTCATTTAGCCTCGTATTATAGTACGTCCCCCAAAGTAGGGAGTCTTAAAATATACTACGATGTCTAGGGCTGACAACATTGCCATAAAAGCGTTCTTTTATGGCAAAGTCATCAGCCCTAGCCATCTAGATCATAAATGCCCACGGCAACAGTGTCTCCAGAAAAATAATAAAAAACAAAAGGAACATCATGTCACTTGCCTCCTCCATTTTCGTAGGAGAGATAAGGGAACCGCCAGACGTTGCCGAGGCCAATGGCATAGTTGATGCAGCTGAAGACGAAGTCCAGCTTTCCACTCCATTTGCCCCTTTCCTCTGATGCACCTTTTGTTGAGGAACAGGCACCTCGGGCAGCCACTGTGGGAGCAGACGCCTTGTTCTCACGGAGGCCATCTTGTGTTTTGGCGGCAGTGCCATTAGCAGCCATCTTCTCAGAATCCATCCTTAATGCTAGAACGTCATGCCGTCGTCACTCCAGCAATGCCGCTCTTTTGTCGTTGCGGTCTGAAATAGAACGGCCAACAAGTTGAACAAACTTGCTTCAGTATCTACTTAAGTAATCCAGTGGAGTGAAGAATATTTAAAACTGTATCGAAGCCACGCAGGCAGAACTTCATGAAAAGAATTCAGAACCTTTGAAACATGAAGTGCTCTTTTATAGCTCTGTGGAGTGATCTGCAATATGGATCAGAAACTATATAACAGTAGATGTGGGATATGAGGAAAGGAGGCCAAAACTGCAACTGTTTGGGCAAAACAAGTTATACAGAAACAAATAGCTGTCTCCAACTTAAAATATCAAAACAGCCCTCACGAATCTGCATCAGACTAACAACCGCAGCGGGTGGTCGGCTCCTTTTCCGTAAGTGTTGGAGCCGGGGAGTGGCCCATGCGAACTCGTTGATAGTCTCATTTATGCGTTTGAGTTGTTTTTTTCCCTTTCTCTTTTCCATGCATCTGAAAGTCTATTTATTGGTGTGCTCATATCAATAAATTTCAGCTGCGTTTGAGATTTTGTTGTGTTAGTCCGTTTTTTTTATCGTTCCCCATCTCAGGGTCTACAAGATGTCGATTAATTACCAGCTCGCCTGCACTCTATCACTGCTTGAAATAAATACTAGCTACCAAGGACGCGATTCGCTTGTCGTCCATTCATTTGTTCCACGTCACATTTAAAAGCAAACAATGAAAAAAAAAAAAAGGCGTTAATTAGGAAGTCCGTTTTCGCGGTCCGCTTTGCGCTCATGACGACGATTGGCCAAGCGCCAAACTCACTACATAAAAAAAAAAGAGAGAAAAACAACAACAACATAGGACCTGGTTCATGTTGCACTGCAATTTATGAACTTCAAAAGCAGCGCCACGAATTTGATTTTTTTCTCGGTGGGGAGCAATTTTTAAACATTATTCACAAAAATACTTTTTTTTTTTTTTTTTTTTTTTTTGCGAGGGATTTAGTTAACGGGTTCAGCCAATCCTAGCTGCTCCAGAGATTTCAGCTGCCGCGGCATGCGACAGAGGTCAAGCGACTGTTTCTGTCGGGCTTACCAGACAGGTCTTCGGAGCATGGCTGACCAAATGGCACGCAGCTACCTTTTTCCTTTCAGAAGGAAACTGTTCGCGGATACCAAGAGCGACTTATCGCTTCGATAAGGCGACAAATAGGAAGGCCAAAGCGACTATCTTACCTTCCGCCATCATAAGCAACGTTGAGAGACGCGATAAGCTGTCGGTGGAACACAACGCCAGATTCTGTGGCGAAATTCGCGGAAGTGCGCAGTGAATAAAGTGACATCATCTCAGAAGTGTCCAATATAGGTCAAAGAATCGATCGATCGATACGGTGCCACAGGCTTTCGAGTTAATATTTGGGTATAACGCTGTCATGAATCATGCAGGTCTCATCTGAGCGCCGATCGAACGGTTTGCTTTGGTTATAAACAAGAAAAAAAAAAAAAAAAAGAAGAAACAGGCACAGAAAAAGAAACGCACCGTGTACAGTGATGACCACTGACAGTTCATCTCGGAGAAAGATTGATTAAAATAAAATAACAAAAATTGAGATCTAAGGTATAGGCTCTAGGATGAACAGCAGCTAGAATTCATTGGCACATATGCATCGATTTCGTGAAAGAACTGGGTTAATGATCAAGCTGCATAATTAAAATGGTGACTAGAAGTACCGATAAATAATCTATTTGTCATCGACATCTTGGGCCCCTTTCTTCAGCTGTGCTTCGCAAGCGAGTGATATAACACCTTCCACCCCCTAGCTGAACCAGCGCTGGCTGAACACATATTATAGCTTCTTTTACATTCTAGCGATCAGAATTCGTTGGCCCCGGTTATGTGACGTAAGTAGCCTTGTTTTAACTCCCCCGGCTTGAACAAGTCATAGAAACAACCATAGAGTTCCACGGCTAAACCAACTTTTCATGATATGCGCGCGCAATCGACAAAAGCATTATTCTAGACGTGACCTCCCTAGGCGGTCGTTACCAATGCTGATATGCATACCTTGTTTTTATGGGGAGAAAGCTACGGAGTTGACACCGAGACGTAAATGCGGCACACGAACGCTGAAGGAATGTTTCGTAGAACCTTACCCGCCAGCCGCGACAACCTCCTACGCTTGGGAGATCGGTCGGAATTTGTTCTCGGTCGCTCGTTCGTACTCGCTCGCCGCTGATGCGCTCGTGCTTCTTGGCCCAGTAAACAAACCCATTCTGAGGGCCACGTACTATGTTCTAAGCATTGTTAAGATGTCTAGACGCACTGAGAAGCACCAATTACCGCTAAACCGTTCTAAAGTTCTTTCCTGCCTAGCACGTTTCGAAACTAGCCAAAGTTTACCGGCACGTGTTGTTTCAGCCGAACCTCAGTTGCGTCGATAACTTGGCCACTTTGCCGAGTTCGCGGCCTTCGCGTCGTTTCTGTCGTAGAGTCGTATTTTAATATGCTAAAAGTTTCTTTGAAAATAAAAATAAGGCTCCCGTATTGGCAATACATAAAAACAACTAAATTTTGTTTGTGATTGGGATGATAAAAAAATCTTTCTTTGTGCAGAAGGTGCGGAATGATGTAAACACGTGACTATGAAAGAGTTTAGCTGCGAAACTTGTTTTCTTCCGATTGGGAAAGTATTATCAACTTGAAACTGCAATGAATTTCATTTTCAACATAAAAGGAAGTTTAGAGGTGGCAATTTCTATTTAAAATATTTCTAAAACGTTGGATTTCCGTGGGCCTGTGGCGCAACGGATAACGCGTCTGACTACGGATCAGAAGATTCCAGGTTCGAATCCTGGCAGGCTCGGGTACATTTTTTTTTTTTTTTATTGCTTATAATGCGGTTTTGGAACATATTGAGGTATTTAGCGCACAAGGTAGAAAGAAGAAGGACAAGACAGAAAAGAGCGCTACTCACAACTACGTTTACTAATAAAAAGGGAAGAGAAAGAAAACACCTAAATAATCCGCCGCTGACTCGTGCACCTGCCACAGCCCCGTGAATGATAGCGGCTAGTTCATCCAGGCTCGTGCGGGCCCTTCATTGTTTGTTCAAGGAGTTTTCTTTCCTTGTTTGTTAGCGTAACGGATTCAACGCTAATACAGTTCCTGTCCTCACGAAGGATGTAGAAGGCCTCCAATACCTCGCGGCAGCGGCGTAGAGTTTCCATTTTCCCGGGGGGGGGGGGCAGACCCGGAATGTGGCTTAAAAAAAAAAACGGGGGAGGCTGCGGGGGGGGGGGGGGGGGGGGGGGGGGGGGGGGGAGAGAGAGGAGGAGAAGGTCCTTGTTTTATTTGTTCCGTGGGTTCTCCCCATAAGGGTCACCTGCAGCAGTCGGAGCCTTTACCGAGCATTACAAAATGGAATCAGCGCGCAAACAACGAAGACACAAGGAAGAGAAATTGACAGGACAAGCGCTGGACTTCAACTGAACGTTTATTGAAAAAGAAACTAACGAGGAAAACAGACAAACCACCAAATCATCACCCCATCAAAACGTGCTCAAAAAAGCTACCTCTCTCTTAAGTAAAAAAAAATTAAACCCGAGACTGGAGAAAAAGGGACAAGGACATAAACAAACGGACACGGACATTGTGACAGCTAACTACCTGGTGTCCCCAAATAAGACGCTCCGCAAAAGAATGACTCGGAAACTTCAGCGGTTTGACGCATCCAGTAGAAATTTCTCTGAATACGTGTTTTACTGGCCACATTTATGCAAACATATTGCAAGACTAAACTACCAGTACAAAAAAGCGAATCTTTTTTTTTTTTTCTGCAGGGGTAGTTCGGGTCTAAAATTTTGTTGCATAAATGTGACCAGTAAAACACGTATTTCAGGAATATTCCTACTTGTTGCACCAAGGATCTAAATTTTGCGGGCCATTTTGTGTGTAAAGTGTATTTTGAGATGCCCATATAGTACCAAACTCCCCGAGTGGATACGCAGGCGCACCAAAAGTGTTAATCCTTTGATCCCTAGCAGACACATGTTGCCGTCGGCAGGGCTTGTCTACGCGCACTCTCCGCCTGGAGGCACGCTCCCCACGCGGCGACCTTGCTGTCCGGGATGCTCGTTCCTTTCGGTGCGCCGCCTCGTGTAATCACTTTTTGACGAGCTGGACTTCGCTTTTCAACGCAGGGACCCATCGGAGAGCCATTCGTCTTAATTTTTACACAGGATACCGGACGAACTGTCACGTTCTTAGCCGAGTCGGAACTGGGCGAGTCGACTTCCTATGAGAACGGCTTACGTTTCAAGAATGTCAATGGGTTCTGAGTTTAGGTTTCCATTTGCGGTGTTCGTGTCGGCTCACGGTTTAAGTTTCAATTGAACTTCGCTTGGTCCCGCTCGTTATTCCGGGACTCCAATCACGATCCTTCAGTTGCTTCCGTCTCTTTGTCAAATAAGCCTCAACCCAGGGAGTTAATATAAAATAGTTTCCACAGGTAATAAGCTCCGGTGACCTTGTCTCAAAGGAAGTGATCAAGCACTTTCTATTCTACTGACTGTTTGCGGCGTATATGTATGGATGCCTTCCCTGGGAATGTTCGTGAAGCCTATTCAGAATAAAACGGAAAAGGGGAGCGGATTGTGCCGCCTAGCGCCGCACTGTCCATACAAACGTTTAAAAAATGACAAAAGGAACACGTATCGGGCATGATGATTATTCTTTCCCCAAAGTTGGCCTTCGTTGAGACTCCGAAGGCTTAATCGCTCTTTTCCCCACAGGCTTTTGTTTCAAAGCAGTGTCCCTTTGTTTTTGTTGTGTTTTGCGATGCTGTTATTTGGCTTCTGGTGTGTATTTTATTGTCATGTTTTGTTTATTTTGTTAACACATGCAGCAGGGGAGAGTGGGGTAATGGTGGCACAAGAAGCTTGACTGACTTCAATTTTAAGAGGGCCAAAAATAATTCTCAGACGGTAGCAAAGACCATTTGATACCACTATACCTTGTGCGAAGCTGGGGTTACAAATTTTTCCGCCAAAAGTTGTTTTCTGGACGAGTATTCGAGTCGCTGTTCGGTGACAAGACTGGTAGTAAAGCCCTTCACTGACCAATCAAAAGTGTGTACAATATTAATATTTTCTTGGCCGAAAGGGCATTCATTTGTAGACGCGCAAGAAATTAAAATTTTTTTCTTGGCGAGCAGGTCTGCAGAATCAGTCACTGACTCACTGTGTCGGGGATGCTTCCTATTCTCAGAAGCATTTTTGTTGTCTAAAAACCGACAGAGATGTCGCGACGCTTTCAAGACTTTTTTTAGCCTGTCATAGCTGAAGCGGGCACTTCAGCTGTTCATTCAGACAACATATTCCGCGCATCTAACTCCGTCTGAGGGGAATTTTCCACTGAATGTCTGACCTGTCACTGTCCCGAGATCCACCATTTAAAAGCCTGAAAGGAAATAAGAAGCGGGAATAAACAGGCCCCTGTGAAATAGCTGCCAGTCAGGACGGTCAACAGTCCACTGTCGATGGGCGCAGACCCAAGCCAAGCTCTTTAAAAAAAATCCCGGGCCGGGGCCGGGGGGGGCTCTGCCCCCCCGTGAAGCCGTCCGGGGGGGGGGCACGAGCCCCACTGCCCCCCCGTAGTTGGCGCTTATGCCTCGCGGGTCAATTTGTCTTTGTTCTTCCCCAAGATGTTGGTCTCACGGAATAATGGTCTGCATGTGCATTCCCTGCAATGGAGAGGAAGATTTCCGCCCACTGTAGCCTTCAAAGAGTAATCATGCTCCCGGAGGCGGTCATTGAGGCATCTGCCCGTTTGGCCTATGTAGCTCTTGCCACACGAAAGAGGTATCTTATACACGACGCCCGAAGCGCATGGTAGGAATTCGTTTGCATGCTTCTTGGTGCACGTGGGTTTTGTGGTACCCTCCGCATGCGCATTCACTCTATTGCAAATTAGGCTCATTTTTTGTGGTGCTGAGGAAACTACTCTGACCCCATAGCGGCTTGCGACGTTCTTTAAATTATGGGACATCCTGTGAAGGTACGGTATTACAACTGGCCTTGTTTGCTTGACACTAGTCTTGTTGGACTGGAAGCCTTTTGCCTTCTTCACCAGAGCGTTTGCCACATCCGCCAGTAGGGCTGACGAATAGCCGGCTTTTGAATTAGCCTCACCATGCAAGTAGATCTACTTGCATGGTGAAGCTGGCTGACATAGTATGAAGACAAGACTTCCTTAGTTCCGAGCCCAGACACGTTAGAGCTATGCCCCTCTTGATGATTTTTGAGTGCGCCGAGCCGTAGTCTAGAATGGCCTTGTTGGAACGTGGGCTGTTTTCTTTCTCTTCCCTTTTTATTAGTAAACAGCGCTCTTTTCTGTCTTGTCCTTCTTCTTTCTACCTTGTGCGCTAAATACCTCAATATGTTAGACTACCAACTAGCCCAAATGTCAACTTTACTGCGGTTTTGGAACCCCCACCACCCCCACCCCTGCATACCATCTCACACAAGTGCGTGTAGTTCTTGCAGGAGCGCGTTTGCAGTTTTCTTTACTTCGTTTTGTCCGTCTGTGTCTAACTGTTGTGACCACTGATTTCCACGGGTCCATATCACAAGAGCGAATGACATTTTAGCGAACGGCGACATTTGAGCGAATGGTCGTTTTAGCGAATAACGGGGGCGCGCGTTAACCCATCCGTCGCGCTGCGCTTTACGCCGCTTCGCGGCGACAGTCTGCGGCAGCTCATTACAAAAATATGAACTCACTTGGCCCACCCGAAAACGCCGCTTCGCGGCGTCCGACTTTTCGCTAAAGTGTCGTTCGATGAAACGTGGGCGTTCGCTAAAACGTCATTCGATCAAGTGAGTGCCTCCCGATTTCCACTGCAGACGTGATCGCGGTAGTGGATTGTAGCCCCTGCAAACAACAAGCTTACATGTAAACATAACAAAAAAGGAGACCAACACATAGGCGTAGATATGGGGGGGCATCGGGGCCCTTGCGCGCCCCGTGCCCCCCACGACCCGCACGACCGCACGCGCGCGAGCTGAGCTCACTGAAGCGCGAACGCGAGCTGCACGAACGCTTCGCCTGCCGTCCCATTCGTGCGGAGAGGGCGTAAGCGGTAAAAGTAAAAGTGGAGGAGGCAGCGTCGCTCCGCGAGGAGAAGATTCAAATAAAAAGTCGTGTTACTGCTTCCACTTGTTTTTTTTTTTAGGGGAGGAAGTGGCCAAGTAGGGCTAACGCGTCTCAGCTCGGAGCGTGGAGCGAAAGCTTGCGCTGGGAACCTCCTGGGTTCGATCCCCGCCGCCCCGCCCGTTACCATCAGGATGAGTTTCGTACCGGCACGCGTTCGTGTGATCACTACTGCGTGATGCACGTTAAAAACCCCAGGTTAGCGGTTGTACCACACTGGCCAAATTTCACATCTACAGCTAAGAGACCGATTACCCGTTGAGGCGCATCTCCATCAAGGCCCAATTTTTTTTTTTCAATTTTTTTTTCTCTTATTTGTGTGTGTGTGTGTGTGTGTGTGTGTGTGTGTGTGTGTGTGTGTGTGTGTGTGTGTGTGTGTGTGTGTGTGTGTGTGTGTTTTGCGGTAGAACGGAGAAGCTAGAGCACTATATAGCTCCTACGGAGCAGAGTAGCGCAATCCTTTGAACCCCGTGTTTTGCCGACAACATGGCCGACAGAGCGGCTCGGCGCGAGTCACGTGGTACTCAGGGTTCCAGGAGGCGGCCCGCCCTATGGGAGAATACATGGAGATCGACATAACACGGCTGATTAAAAAACTAACGGCGAGTTCACATTTTTCAAAACTAACCTGTCGTGAAGTTAGTAAAGCGCTAAACACTTCATCAAAGTTTTAATAATATCGGATGCGTGTGCAAATTTTGAGAAGGCAATTTCCAAGGCAATGGCGTTTGAAGCAGACGATTTTTGCTCGCAGCGGAGATGGGCTTTTCGGGTTGGCCGGAGCGGGTCACGTGAATGGTGTGACGTCGCCGTGTCGTCTGCTGCATGATGCCGCTCAGGCAATTTTTTAAAAAAAGTTACGTCCTTGTATGGCACAAAACTTATCGCATATCATTCTAAAATGTTTCATTATTATGTCAAAAATGATTTCCATTCCGCACATTACCACAAAACTGAAGAAACAACGATTTTCTCACGTTCTCCATGCATTTCTGACCGCAGTTGGAACCTCCGGGCGTTCGCCGCTAGTCGCCGAGAGACGGCGTTCTAGATTGCGCTACTCTGCTCCGAAGGAGCTATATAGTGCTCTAGGAGAAGCCTTCGCGCGGGCGCCATGCCTAGAAAGCAACGTCACGATGCTAGAAGGTCATGCTTAGAGGCTAGAACAACTAGAACATGGAAGTTTGTGCCACAAATGATAGGTGGCGCAGGTTGTCAACCAATTCAAGACAAAACGATTTCTCTACTTTTTCTGTTTACAATATGAATGGATCAGCGATTAGTAAGTAAGCCACAGGAAGGAGGGGCTGGCCAAGCAGCGACGCAGGATGAATTTGAGCCGTCAAAATTTGGTTCTTAGTATACGCAATGACGCTGCTATTTTATTTAGGAACTATCATCTTCACAGTCGTTGTATCTACTCTAGGAGACCAGGTAGTGGCCCATGAGTATCTCCGAAACTTTCTGTGGTTGCGCGCTGCAGCCGACAACGTGACACATGGCTTGGTCGGACTTATCTGCTGGGTGGCAGCTTGCGGCCCCCGTTGCTTTCCAGCCAGCCTACGAGAAGGCATTCTTTGTGGCTTTATCGCTTGCGCGCTCGATGTTGATCACTTCGTGGCCGCTGCATCGGTGAAGATCGAGGTAGTACCAAACTCCAGTAACCTCTTTCCGTTGTAGTCGGGCACGGGCCGCCTACACTTCTATCCGTTCGTGAATTCAGATTTGCAACTTGATCCATTCCTTTCTAGGATGCAACCCGCCTACGAGCCAGGCCCTTTCTCCACTGCACCTCCATCGTGATCCTTGCCATATTGATAATCATGCTGGCTGCAAGGCTGACTGGTCAGCTGCAACTTTATCACCTCACGTTGATGGCAAGCGTTGCCGTCACTTCGCATCACCTTCGAGATTCTCTACGAAGGGGACTGTGGCTCTGGCCTTATGGAAGCACACCACCGGTGAAAATTGGATTTTATTATGCGGGTCTTGGCTGCATTATATTAGTGGCATCGCTGGGGATACGGACTAGCTTGCAAAAGGAAGATCCTATTGTGAGCCTGGTGTGAACTACCGAGACTACAAATAAACAGGCATTTGTGCACACACATGCTCCAGTTTTACTTTGGCCGTATAAGCAAGTAACACACACTCACCAACACATATCCATGCACGCAGTCACCCAAAATACCCCCCTGCTGCCGACCACCTGAAACATTCTGCAACATTTACATCCCCTTCTATTTGGCATGATTGTCGGCAGTGAACAAGATTAGGTGAGCACTTTTCCAGAGCAATCCCCAAAATGAGGAAATTTGCTTTTTTTTAGTGCCTGGATGTGGCGCGATGAGACCACCTGCAAGCAGTAAGTACGGACCTGGCACCTATTCTCTTATTGGTTCCTGAATCAAGGGGCAACAAATCCCTGGTGTAAAATATTCATCCTTGGCAAATAAGCAAATTTGGTTTGTGCCCACAAACCATTCTCTCATCGCGACCTTGCATAAAGCAAAATCATGGTAATGAGTACAGACGACTTCCGCCTATGTACACAATGACCCACAGCAAATAGAAAAAAAATGGCCCACAAATTAGGAAACAAATCTGAAAAGCCACAAGGCAGTTTGGGTTAGAATCTGTTGAGGAACGTGGAATGTTTGCATGGGTGTGCAGTTCCCTTTCACAAGCCGCGCCGAGCTCCCCCCCCCCCCCCCCCCCCCCCGCCATTTCATGTACAGTAACAGTCGAATGATAATAAATACTGGTGATAATGATGCACAATTGAAAGGATGTAAAACAAAAACCTTCCCAAACTCTCAATCCATGATGGGGCCACAGCAGTCAAAGGCTTGCCTTGGCCGAATCCCTTCAAACGAGCAATTCCCCACGCCCACAACAAACTCGGACTTAGAAGGCTGGCAACCCAGAGCGTGTTCTGACAAAACATCACAGGTTCCTAGTGACAGCTGAGGGGAGGGGAGGGGAGGCTGCTTCGCTCTCAACACTAAAGTCGCTCAACAACGTCTCAAGATCCAAGACCACCCAGTGGCCGAGCGCACGTCACTGAGCCACCATGGCTCTCGCGGCGTGCTTGGACAGTTTGCGCAGTCGCCCGCGACTGCTAACCGAGAGCACCTCCCTCGCCCGTGAGTCTAACCCGTCGTCGTCGTCGTCCTCGGACCCCCCTGTCCAGTCGGAGTCCTCCTGCTCCCGGTAGCGCACCAACTGTTGTCCCCGGTTGCGCGTCTGCACGTGCGACCTCTTGGACGTCCTGCCGTCCTCCGTGGCTGCGTCGTGGACGCGTCGTGGCGGCTTTCTCGACGACCGCCGCGGCACGCCGTAGTCGTGGTCAGTCACAAACAATGACGACTTCTCCGAGCTGCCTGTCGTGCCTTCAGATTCTCCGCCGCTGTCGTGCGGCCTCTTGGTCCTTCGTTGGCTCCGGCCATGGGAGACGTCCCGGGCGCCCACAGAACTGCTCCCCACACTGTCGTTGCTATCATCGCTGCCTATCACATTGGTACGGGCCGCGCGCCTCGTAGACCGCCTCCTTCTAAGTGGTTCTTCGTCCTCCTCCTGTTCTTCTTCCTCCTCCTCCTCCTGTTCTTCCTCCTCTTCTCCCTCTTCATCTTCACACTCTCCCTCTTGGTCAATTTCCTCCTCTTTTACTTGACACTCGACTTCCTTTTGTTCTTCGTTATCTGAACTGCTGTTGTCACTGTCGTCCTCGTCGTCCTCGTCCTCGTCACTGGTTTCACCATCGGAAGAAGACGTGTTATGGACAACTTTCCGTTTCCGAAGCGAGCTCTCGCTGGCCAGTTCCTTCTCACTCGAGGACGTATTGCGACCGCCGTGGCCGATCACTCTTCTGCTGCTCTTCTTTCCATTCACCAGCCGCTGGTTTGAGACTGCAAAAAAAAAAAATGTGAAAGAGATATGTTGCACTATTTGTAAAGATGACTCCCAAGAAGCCACAAACGCTTTGGTACGCCAATCGGCGCAGTTAAAAGCTGATGCCAAATCGAAGTGCAAACACACTTGCATGTCCCCCTTACGTGTAAGTGTAAGGAGGACATGGAATCGAAGTGCACAGACACAGTTACATGCCCAAAATAAACTCTCAGCATGACAAGGCGTGCAAATGCAGTGCGAGACATGCCCACAAGTACATAAACTGTGACTGGAGTTGTGTACAAGATATCGTTCTTGTATGGAAAAGTTTACGAGGGCTAGCCTAAACGATGCGTCAACATCGGGCTCGGGGAGCATGAGCTTTCTTTGAAATCCTTGCCGTCAGGTCACCTAGTCTTACATGCGAGGGACTGTGGGTGTGCCCTGTTGTTTGCTAGCGCAGGGATTCTGAGGTCGTTCCACCACAAAAGAAATATAGAGAAATCTAGGAAGCCCAGTCCATCACAGCAAGAAGCGAACCCTGCATAAGCGCGCCATCAGTGAACTTGTCACCCAAGGAACTATGATACCTCCTTATTTCCTAAAATATTTTTTCTTCTCGATCTTTTGTTTTCAATTTCTAAATTAATTTTTCTTTATCTATTATAAACTTTTTATTAGCTCAGTCCTCCTTCTAGATCCTTTTCCATTTTCTTCCTTATATAAATTTATCTTCATCCTTTTCTTCCTCATCTTTTAATTAAAACGTCACTTGAAAGTAGCGCTTGTCCTGTCCTGTGCTCCCTTGTCCTTCACGCTAATACTTTTATGATGTCCTCCTCTTTTTGTGCAAGCACCGAGCGCTTATGTTCCTAAATAAACGAGTGTGCTCCACCCCAAGCAGACTCGATAAACAAAGCTGCGCAGAAGTTTGCCAAAGTCTATCACAAACGAGCTCGAAGGTTTCGACAGGCTCCCAAAGAGAATAAGTCGCGTGCAATGAAGGACGCACCTTGCACATTTGCTCTGGTGACCCTAGTTGCGGTGTTGCCACGAGCGCTTTCTTTCTTGGGGCCTATTTCCTCATCTTCGCTGTCGGAATCCGACTCCAAGTACTTCTTGGGCCTCAGTACTGGAAGGATCATGCGCAAGGCCGTTTAAATTATTCCACGTTATTTGTACGACGGAATCTCCCCTGCCTGGACCCCTCTAGGGTCTATGGCATCTAATAAATACAGTTGAACCTCAATTTAACGAAACCCGATTTAACGAACAAATTCGGATTCCCCGCGCACCCTATCCCGAAGAATGTCTTTCTCGACTTTACGAAGTTCCCGATTTAACGAAATAATTACGGGGTCCCGGCGACTTTGCTAAATCGAGGTTCAACTGTAAACAGATATCAAATCCCACAACCTCAACAGCATCAATCAAAGGCAAGCTAAGTATACGTAAGCCAAATTATCACGTACCTGCAGCTCTCACGGTCAGCGGGGGGAATGTGACCTTGGCTGAGCGGGAGCTTCCACGTGAGGACGACGGCTGCGAATCGCTCGAGAAATCTAAGGCGGCTGGCTGACTCCTGCGACGAGACGGGACAGTTCGAGAGTCAAGCAACAGTTTCCTTTGTTTGCAATGTGAAGACATCAAGTAGGAAACCAAAGGGGTTCTCTATACCTTTTGCTCACATACTGGTTGTTCTTCACTTTGGTCTCGTACTTGACGGCCGATCTCCAGTCGCTCGTGATCGACCGTATTCTTTCTTCGAACATTGCCGACATCCGTATGGTCATGGAATAGATCTGCAAAAAAAGCGAGAAAAACAGCCACAGTGAGCTACGGTGGAGGTGGCGAGGGACGCTGCTTCGCAAAGATGCGCCGGATGTTCTCACCCTAGACTTTTTGTTGGTGTTGTAGTTCCTCGAATTTGCAAAGATGAGCCGCATGTCCTTGCAGAACTCTGTGGGGCTGGGGTACCGGTCGCGTTGTAGCCGATCTCGCACGGTGCCCAGGTCCATGGGAACGTCAATGATGTTCACATAGTCCTGCAAACAGCAGTGAGTGGCAGCTACATGTTTGCATGCTTGTTTACACCTTTGGCACACCTACACCAGATTCACGTCAATTGTGTATTATTGCACAGACTATGATCAGTTTACATGTTACCAGAACGCACAGTGTTTGAAGCAACATCTCGATACAAATGGAACCTCTTGTAGGTAATAAACTCCCGTGCAGTGCAAGCGAGTATGTCATATTAGAATTAGTCTAATGTAGCCTGGCTTCTTCAAAATGCAGGCTCAGTACAAAAGATCACTTCATGCTTGTCCTCAAATGTCTGTCACAAAGCTAAACTAGCTGTGGAGTATACAAAGGACTGAGATCCTGTGTGGCATATCAATTGGGAGGATTGTTTGGCTTTCACTTGCAAGAAAAATTGCACTACGTCTCACACAAAGAGCTGGACAAGCAAAAGCGTGTTCCTACATTGCTGTACTATCTGAGGGCAATGCCAAGGCCAACATAAAGAAAACCAGGGTCCGGACCACTAACCTCATACGTGTTGACGTCCACTGGCTGACGGAATGGTGTGGAGTCCTCACACTGGAAGATGAGGTTCAAGAGGTCAGAACACTGTGCTTTCCACGTAGTGGAAGTCAACGGGGTGCTCTGCTCCGTCCTCCGCTTTTTGGACATTCCTGGCGGGGCAACCTGCAACATAGACACGGCAGCATAACACGTTTGCGCCCGGCAAATGCGGCAGTCAAACATCACTTCTATCAGACAACACCTAACACGAGGGGCTGGTGATGGGGTATCTCTCCCTGCGGCAGAAATCCCTGCAAGAGGGATTTTCTGGTCACATGACAAGCTTCATGGGGACAAGGCACCTATGAAAGTAATATTCTGCATCAAATATTTTCTGATGCATTGTCAAGGCTAGCGTAGCACCCAGAGTGTTGCAGCTGAGCACTGCTGCGAGAGCATCTGGCTTCGTCTTTCATCTCATTTGTACGCGCCCTCGAACAAGAGACGCAACACACTCGCGCAAGCACAATGTTTTTTTTCACTGCAAAAATAAACCAACGCTCATTTTCCGCCCAAATGTAGTGCTTGCAGTCCGAACAAGGTGCCAAAGTTTCAGCACTAACCGTTATCTTACGCAAAGGTTACAAGCGATTTTCTGAAAATTTTAATAGAAAAATGGGGCCCATTTTTGCCCATTTTCGATAATTGGTGCCACAGAGCTTCACGTATCAAAAAACCCTGTTGGCCGCCATTTTCCCATTGAAAATTTCAGAAAATTACTCGTGGCTTCTGAATTAAATACCGGTTAGTGCGAAAACTTTGGCATCCAGTTCAAACCTCTAGCGCTACCTTTGGGCGGAGAATGAGCGTTCGGCAGCCAAGCTTGCAATTTCCCCGACAGTCGTACGACCTGTTTTAGAGTCTGTAGACGTTGTTTGGGACCCTGTAACTAAACTTCACATTGAATGACTCAAGGAGGTTCAGAAGAAAGCATTGCAGCACTTCATTTTCAACGAAAAAATTACAGGACACCTAAGACTGCTTACGTGAGGGAATATGAAAGCATTCCTTCACACAGTGGATTCCTACAAGCACTGCGCCACATCTTCCTATCGCACATGCTGCTCCGGCGAACTCCGCCGGCTCCACGCCTTCCACGACGGTGCATCTGCGTTGCTGTGCTTTCCTCTGTGTGTTTTTCTGAGACGCGTCGGCTTTGACTTTGAGTGCCCCACCGACTTCCGTGACGAAGCATCCGATATGACGCGTCACAGCCAATAGGAACGCGTCGCGGCCATTCTAACTGCTGTTTATTTAGATGCCCGTTTTTCGCGGTCAAAGCCAACGCCGGCTGCGCTCCATGGGACCAGTTAATGCTTTCGCATTAATACAGAAGAATGAGTTCTACTACCAGTTTATACAACATATCAAAAGTTGAGCTTCTTTCAACTTGGAGCAAAATTAATTGTACCATTGTACAAGAATCATCTTGCCTTTCATTTGACAGATTTATGCAATTTAACACATCTCGTCATACACAAAGTAAGCATTCCAACACAATTGTGGTGCCTTATGCAGAACTGAATGCTTAAAAACTAATTTTTCGCGGGCATCATTAAAGAATGGAATAATCTTCCCGCCAACATTATGTACGCCTCATCCGCTCAGGAATTTGTTTCAGCACTGCAGCGTTATTTCTCAGATGTGCAGTCCTAAATGCTTTTTTCTTTCTTACTTTTTTTTTTCTTCTTTTTTTTTATTTGTGTGTAATGAGGTTTCTTTATAAGTATGCTCTGTATGCCCTCTCCTGCTTTGGCTGCCAATATGCAGCCGGCAGTATGTATAAAAAAATAAATAAATATAGAGCACTGTGGAAGCTACGCTAGCTTTGATGGTGTAACACGCGATAGTTATGCCGAGTAGTGTTCCATGCAAATGTCTGCCGTAAGTTTGTCCTGGCTTCAATTATTCAAGTCTGATCTTATGTGCAGAAAAAGGGTAATCAGGCTTGAAATGTACTTTAGTGAAATGAATCGCATTCGTGTGCTTTAGGGGTGGCATGTAAAATTATTTCTTAGGGAGGTTGTGTTAAGTGAGAATTAAAGAAGATAATACCACGAGGCTTACGTCTACCGAGTGGAATCGGCTGAAATGCTAAGTATGTATTCGCCCTACGGAACTGGCCATGTGACCTCAAAATCCCTCATATCCTCCAGTAGAACTGGCCACATAACTAGCAAACTGCCGACACCTATTCAGGAAGCCAAAACGGCAAGCTTTGCTTGCACTGTGAGCATATCAACATCATGCTCAGCAGCCATGTACGGCGAGTCCAAATCGCGAACATAAACTTTGCATGTTTCCCCATTTACCAGCCTCCAGGTTTTCTGGATGTGTGCTAGGAGACAAGAAACGACACAGTGGAAAACATGCCACACTGGATAGGCAGTAACCTCTCAATCAGCATCTTATGAAAGAGAGAAGATACCATGTATTCATTTCTAGAAGAAAGACACAACATTTTCTTCCTTGAGATTTGAAACCAAATAATGATGTTCATGATCCCAGAAAATAAAGATGCAGCAACAAATAATGAAATACAGTATGGAAGGAGGAAAGATAAGTATGAAGCAGGAAAGATCAAATGTGCAGGAGTGCTAGAAGAAATCAATCCCACGACGCAATACCTTTTTGCGCTTGACACCAGAAGATGATGGGCAGCAGCCGACTTCGTTATCAGTGGAGCTCGAGGAATTCTCCCCCGCTCTCGAGGTACTGTTGCTCGAACTTCCGTTGGAGCTGTCCACCAGCTCCTGATACAGCTTGATGGGATCTCGACACGAGTTGTCGCTGTAATTTACATTCATTGGTTGCATTCAGAAACTTGGTAAAAATTAAAGAATCACCACGCCAAATATTACAATATAATTCTGTATAAAATTTCACTACCGTAATATCCCGAGAGATGTCCCATCCCCGAAAGATAGCCCGCCCTCTATTTTTGGCATGATTTGCTATTTTTTCTGAAACACGAAAAGATAGCCCATGTCTAGTAATTACAGGTCCCTGGCCAATGACCTCGGCAAAAACAGTCCTACTTAACCCTGCAAGAGATAAGCGAACATTGCTGACTGAGAAGGACAGTCGTCTTTGGTTCGTTGCCCCTTCTTGTAATCACAAGTTTCGAGAGTCCCAAAACCTAAATCTAGCATTTTTTTCAACTTGTTCTTTATTGGAACACTGAGAATGAGCCCACTCCTTGTTTTCCCCCAATTTGCTATTGATTTTAGGTGGACTAACTTTTGGGATATTACGGTAAACTGTCCAATAAAGACCGAGAAGTGCCAAGCCACCAGACTCTGCTAATTATAGCGTGCAGCGCAATCTACAGAGGTGCACGCAGTGGTCGGTGCAGTCGTAGCTCCATACTGGCACAGCCAACGCTTTGCTAACTATGTCACAAGAATATCAACAGATTTTGCTCGTTTTGTTGCACCTTTCCGGGTAAGACCTACAGGTGGCACTGGCAACAGATTCACTGATGTCCCAGACACTCGTGGAACCACATGTGCACTAGTGCGCACCCGTGCGTTTGGTTGCTTCGTTGGCTTCGTCATGAATGAAATACCCAACCCGCCCGAAAACAATGTTTTGTGTGCACCAAACTCACACAGGCACTATGTTCAAAGCTTAGTTGCAATGGCTGACAAAAAAAAAAAAAAAAAAAAAAAAAAAGGCTTGAGGTACCTAAGTTTTTCTTACGAGTTGTGAATGCGAAAGCATGCATGCCATTCTTCCGCTCCCTTATTTTGTCGGCAGCATATTTTCGTCGACGGCAGAGCGCGCCCTCTCCTCGCCGCTCTGACCTTGGACGTTTCGTGTTAGCGGCTTGCTGACGAACGTGCAGGGCCATGGGGTGGCGGTCGCTGACACTGACGAGCAGCGGCCAATGGGAGCCTCGTCAACGCGCGCCAGCCAATGGGATTGAGGCCGAAAGCCATCAGCTTTACTCCGCTCCTTCGGGATCGGGGAAACTAGGTGCCATTTGCCTAGGCTTGCCGCGTGGTTTTATAGCTGCGAGCTGGCTTCACTTGGAAAAATAATTCAGGGTGCCGTTTGGCGCAGCTTCAAAGCTGATGACGTCAGCTTGGTCCATGGGACAGTTAATGCTTTCACACTAAAAAGCAGATTCGCAGTGTTATGTCTATAGCCTGATGTAGCCAGCAAGGACTGTAAACAGGAGCGTACGACACTTGCACCTTTGAGCAATGCCCGTCCGACGAGTCACGTGGTATGCGGTGTCACTGTTAGTGTCGCTTGGTTGAGCACGCTTGTAACTATAAGGGATCAATGTTGCCCACCGCAGGCAAAGTTTAGGTTTGTGATAATTTTTAAATAAAGACTGAGAGGAAAAAAATATTTAATTTTGGGGGGAAACATATGACGTGGAGCAGTTCATTAGCACTTCTCACAATGTACAATCACTTATTATACCAAATCCTTTTGGAATTGAGTGGGCAGTCTGCACACTGGTGAGGCATCAATGTGTGCAGACTTTTTTGAAGGAAACAGAACTGCATCAAAATAACTTCTTGAGTGCCTAAAAGGTCCTTCCTCCACAGTAGCAAGAAAGCACTCACTCAATAAATTTGGTTAGAAGCCTCGTCAAAAGCGCGGCCTTCTGGACAATCTTGCTGTCCGGCTCGTTGAACTTCTTGGCATTCAGCTCTATGAACTTAATGTCGAACTTGATGGCATCCACCCGCCTGTCAGAAAACAAGAAGGGACAGACAACAGGGTAAAGTCGGTCATTGTTCAACATTGCATCGAGTTTCTCTTGATTAGTGCTTGTTCAAGCTTGTATTACCTATGCTTGGAGTTTCCTTCCTCATAACGGAGGCTAACCTAGTGCCTGGACAATGAAACTACGACCGACGGCACGGAAGACATAGATCGCCGTAGAACAGGGGTTTTCCCAAACTGGGCTTCTAGGAATTTGGGGGTGCCTCAAAGTATGCTCGTGGGGTCTTCGAGCTCTTTAATTTTCTCGACCGCCCCTGCCCTAAAAATAAAGTGTTTTTACAATGTCTAATTTAAGCACTACTTTAGCAAATCTGAGCCACCCATTGATGCGTACCTAAAGGGTCAAATACACCCTAGTGCATGCATCAACAGTAGCAAAGTCAGTAGGTGTCGGCACCATTTAGTTGCCTAAATGCAAAAACCAAGTGGAGCTCCTCGGCTGTCAGACAGTGCAGGTGGGGTTCTTCGAGACCGAAAAGTTTGAGGGTCCCCTTCGTAAAGAACAGTTCCACAAAGAAACCGGACTCCCGTTCTTTATACCTAAGGAGCATGAAAGCGACAAAACAGAGAGGAGGGGGAGGTGCACCTGTAGAAGCGGTTCTCCAGACGCGTCCTGATGGTGGTCAGGTCGATGGGGTAGGCCACCACGCTGGCGTACAGCGGGTAGGCGTTGAGGTCCACGGGCACGGCGAAGGGCTCGGCGATAGACAGCTCCATGATGCGGTGGAACCCCTGGACGAGGCGCTCGCAGAAGGCGTCCCGCCCACAGCGGGGCCACTCGTTGCTGCGGGGCCGGTAGCAGAGTCTGCTTCGCTCCTCAGGCGTCACTGGCACCGCGCCTCCCGTGCTTTCGGGCATCCCTGTGGGGGGAGGGGGGAGCGTAGTCGGGTGACCGCCCTCGCCATTTCGACCCTCTCTTGCCAACCGGCTCGTTGCATGTAAAGTATGGCATCTGGAATGCATCTTCAACTGGCACGTTTACCGTCCTGTCCCGCCCCCCGCGTCGGAAGTGGTCCCGACGAATCGCGTCGCAGAAGCCAATGCGTCACGCGTTTGAATATTGCGGACCTGGCGGTCGATCGTAAAAGTCGTGGAGGTAGGAAACTTCTGGAAGCGACATGCGGCCGCTAGAGGTAAATCCGGAGGTGTTGTCACCCTTGGGCATGGTCAGCTCTCCTTTTCGTCCAATGGAAACTCTTGGTTTTGGTCGTCGTTTGGGGGAGTGTCCCTCCACACTTCTGGCTTCACCCCTGGTGGCCTCATGTTGCCTCCAGAAGCTTCCTACCTCCATGTTGTACAACAACGATCGAGGGTAAACTGTCCACAGCTGGACGTCAATCTTTTTTCGTCACTATGCTTCCCTCAACTGCCGCCGGCTTGCCGATTGGCTCGTTGCTGCCAAAGCACTTCGAACCACACTCCAGAAGGAGAACAGCTCTGACTGCCGCGATGGTGCCACTCACGGCTGGGGTCGATGCGCTCGAAGTCCCACGGACTCATGCGCTCCGCCTCCCCGTTGTCCCAGGTGACGATGCAGCACTGGAACATAGAGTCCGGGTACTCCAGCTGCAGGGGTGCCTGGGTGTCGATGGTGCCCAGCCACCAGGCGTCGTCTATGATGCTCCTGAAGCGGTCAGCTGGGGAGCCAAAGCGGAAGGAAGGTTGCTGCGAGAAGCTTCACGTGCGAGGCTTCCCAAAAACTGTAATGATTTTCGTTGGGTCTTCTCAGAGGAAGCTAAAAAGCCCCAATAATAGCAAAAAAAAGAAAGAAACGAGAAGTTTTGCTTGCATGCATCCTACCATGATAGAACTGGCAAACGGAGTGTTTTTTTATTCGTGGCAAACAGAGTGTGTTTTTGTTTTCGTGGTTTTTGTTTTTCTCACAACTTTCTCAACATCATATCTTCTTATAGCATCTCTTTTACTTTGAGAAGAGAAATGCCTGAAGCCATCTCTTCTCAAAGCTTCTGCAGTGCCAACAAAATGAACTCGGGGCAAGTCAATTGCTGCGACGGCTGCGTGGGCGGACAATCCCTTTGCTGGGTGCCTCCGCTTGCACAGTTGACAAGAGCATCAACCGTCAGATCCTCCGTGGCAATTAATTGTTGCACGTTATCAAAAACTTTTAGCGTCAACACCCGAAGGAATCAGATCGTCTGGCACACCCTCCTGGAACTGCTCCAAAGTGCAGTTTACTGATCCAGCATGTTTCCCCTGGCATGATGTGCATGTACTTTAGCCTACATGAGCAAATGCATAGTATAGTTGGATGGAGTATTTGAGTCGACGTGCAAGCTCAAACGTCTGCAAATGGAAGTTATCAGTAAGGCTCCGTGTTTTCGGAGTTTATTTTTCGTGAAATTCGGAGGGTGTTTTTCGGAGTTTATTCTTTAGCGAAAATTCGGTGTTTATCGGAGTTTATTTTTTGTAAATCCCCAATTCTCTGAAATTCGAAGATTAATTTCGCAGTGTTTTTTATTAAAAATAATAAATAATAACCGGATGTAAACGCATGCCAGATAAAAAATAAAACGCGCTTGTATCAATTAAGATTTCTTCAGTTGAATTTGGCGTTGGTGTCATTGGCAATACTAATTTGTCCCACGACAAAAGTCGCACACAAGTGTGGCTTCAATGAACGTCGATACCTTAAAATCAATAAACTGCCGGAGGTAGCCGGAAGGAAGCTCGTAGTCATCCCATCAATCTCTCCCACGGCCGCGCGAGGTGGAGTGGTTAAGGATATAATAGAGAAGTTTCAACTGCCCCTCTTCCCTATTTTATACAATCTCTATGGTCCATAGTTTTCACTGTTACCCCCAGAAACATACCCTCTGCTTTCTCTAAATCCCAAATCCCATGGCCCAAACTGAAAACCAAAAGAGTGGCTTTTGTTGTGACACGAATGGTACGATGACCTGTTTCCCTGAACCAACCTTGACGAGGCAAGCCGTAAGACCCCCTTTTGACAACGGTCCGAGGCTTAAAAGATAATTATGGTGTCTTTTTCCCAGGACCATTGATCCTGAGCTGCTCAAATTGTAAAAAAAAATAAAAATAAAAAAAGACTTTTTTTTTTTTAGTTGTGGAAAAAAGGGGAGGGGGGGGGGGGGGGGGGTGGCATGGTCACACAACAATTCGGAGTTTCTCGGATAAATCCGAATCGACAAATATTTTACCGGCGGGTGTTTTTCGGAGTTTTTCGGATTTATCCGAAAACACGGAGCCCTAGTTATCAGTGAAGGTGCTTCCTGGAAAAATATGACAAAGCACTGGGTCAAGCAGACACATCATAAACTGAAATGGGAGCTGATACGAAGGCAAGCTGGTCTACGACCTTACTAAAAAATATAAATAAAGTAACCATGATAAGAGAAAAATGAAAAAAAAAGGACAAACTTCCGTCGTTCTCGTCCCGTTGGCGACTGCAGTGCCACTCCCCAACTGCAAGAGCAAATCCCCTCCTATGGACACTCACTGGGCTTCCAGTTGCAACGCATGGCCTGGTCGTAGGTCTGCCTCAGCACCAGGAAGTCGATGACGTCGGGCATGTCGTGGTAGCGGATCACGAAAGGTGTCCCGTCGACTTGGCCCCGGTTGGGTTCAATGGGCACCACCCGCAGGCAGCACAGGTGCACAGGCGGGCACAGCTCGTACCGAATGTCCAGCACTCGCAGCAGCTCCTGCTCCTGTCTCGTGGACGTCAGACAAGGGTCACGCACCTCAAACACCATCGTGAAGAAGTCCCTTATAAATGCTCCCCCCAAGATCACCCCTCCCGTTTTTCTCGATAAGTATTTATAGGGTTAAATTTTCGAAACGTCGCCCTCCCTATCTAATTCGTGTGACGCCCAAAGTGACTCATGCATCTGCCACGCTTCGAATAAAGGGGTTAAAAATAAGGAAATAAGTTTGGGTTGCACATTAGTGGCACTGTGATGCCACAGTGCCACTAACGTGCCATGCGTCGATGTCGACACTGGACGCGTGGCACATCGTGGCACTGTGGCGGCATGTCGCATGACCGTAGCTTTCCTGATGGTAGCGCGACGTCAAGTGACGCAGCTACATACGGTGGCACCATGACATCACCTAGGGCCTATAGACCAGTGTCTGAAATCCCAGCCCCCAGCGATAAAAATGGGAAATAATAATCTCAAACTCAGGCTCCTATGAAGAAAGGGACCGTGCATAACACAAGATTTTTGCATTTTACAGCCCTCTTGGCATCGGTGTTGTTTTAGAAGCTTCGTGACTATGCATTTCTGCCGTTTTTGCACCACGATATGTACGAAAGTTTCTAAGACAGAGTATTACAAGAAGCACGACTCCCCTACTGTGCCATGGCATCAGCATAAACAAACATGGTGGTCCCCATGAAACAGAGCAGACACTGGTCCATGAATACTTCACACTTGGAGCGTCTATGTGACATACCAAAGAAACACGCATTATTTCAGCACCCCCTTTGCTCTTCTCCCTAGCAGACGCCTTAAGTCCCAAAGACCCTTCCAGAGAAGAGACAGAGGAGGCACGCACGCACCCTGAGCTTGTGCCTGACCCAGGGCTGGGCCCTGTCCTTGATGCGGTAGGTGCGGCAGCGCTTGACTGCCTGGACGTACATCTGATGACCCTGGTGGAAGTACACCACGTCGTCCCCCAGCTGCGGGAAGTAAGGGTTCTTGCGGGGCACCACGTCCATCAGCCATTCGGGGGGACGCAGCACTTTGCCCTTGTGGCTTCGCCCCGCCTTTGCCCCTTTCTTGGCCTCCCCCTTTTTCTCCTTCCCTTCCTCCTCCTCGTCTTCCTCAGACTCATCTCCCCGTTGCTGTTGCTGCTGCTGGGTCTGGAAAGAGATATCATATGTTAATGGATAAGCACGGTTGCAAAGCTGCGAGGAGAGAGCATCGGAAGCGACCGAATGCCTGACAGATCGGCGGTGCGACTCTCTAGTCCTCCCAATGATGTGGGAGTATCAAGAGAGGGCGCCAAGGATCCATGGAGCAAGGAGGAGGGGGCGGAACTGGTGTGGTGGAGTTGGGAGACGAAGAATATGTGCAAAAGAATGAGGAATGTGCATAAAGGTTTCGCGTTTTAAGTGTCGGAAGCCCAATGAGGTAACCACCATGCCCTGGAAATAAAAAAGCTACTGAAACTTTGTGACACATTGAGTGGCAATAACATACTCTCTTTCGGCCCGACTTGGAAAAGTGCAAAGATGCGGCAACCGGTGATTCGATCGGAGAGTTGAAGCGAGGAATGTGACAGTGTACCACCGGTGGGCACTCCTTCCGTGGAAAGCAGTTACGTGCCTCACCTTGTCGCTAGAGCTGGCTTACGGTGGCCATAGCTTTTGCCCTTTGCCAAATAATGCTGGAATGAATTATAGACTCAAATGTTGACCACAATGAACGATCAAGTTGCAGCACTCGTAAGTACTAATAAATCCCAAAAAAAGAAATGCTGCTTTTTACACATTTTTTGTTTATCCGGATGGGGTGAAATCTCTCAACCTGAAACATCACACACTTGGACTGCACAACTCTAAGAGGTATCCACCATTACCAAACCCTTCTTGAGAACAGCTAGTAACTCGCCACCCTCAGTCATTGAAAAACAATCCTACGACCGCCTAAATGCCTCAAAAGTGAATCCAACTAAAGCATAGTCACAACGCTTCAATTCCCCCTTTGGAGAGTCAGCCTTGCTCTCGTACGCTCGTTACTCTCACAATACCCTGGATGTTTTAACAAGATGCAGGCTCAAGGCCCAGCATTAACCGCTTAACTGTCGTAGCAATAATAAGATAAAAAAAAAGAAGTTCAGCCTTTCCACTCTCGTGAAGAAGGAAGACCCAGCGGAGCTGTACTCGATACACTACCGCAACGCACAGGTTTCCCGCTTCTTCTTGTCCGACACGCCACCGATTGTAGATACGTCTCCGGCGACTTTAAGTCGGTCGCACACGGCGCACAGGACGCCAAACAGGTAATCCACAATTCCCTCCGGAACATCGACGTCGCGCCCGGGAACTGTTCAGCAGGCTTGGAGTGCAGTCGTCGCCGGGCCTCGCACTTGCGCTTGGCCTCCGTGGCACGATCGTCGTCCGTGGCAATGGCCCGCTGGCGCCCTTTACATCACTGGTTCTGTTCTCGGCGGCAACTTTCCAGGCGAGCGATGTGCTCTTCTTTGGCAAGGGAATCTGAAGCGCTCGATGCAGTTGAAGTCGAGGTGACAGCGGTTTTGCGGCGGTTACGGACCCATTCGGCGCTGCTGCATACATCGCCGCTCCTTCCGCAGCCAGTCTTCTTTCCCCGAAAGGGCGCGCGGCCAACCCATCCTAAGTCTAAACCGAAACTGATAAGAGCGTAGGAAACAGCGCGCAAAACAGACGAGGACGAAGAAACACACGTGACAAGCGCTGCGCTCGTTATGTGTGCTTCTTCTTTGTCTTAGTCTGTTTTTCGCGCTGTTTCCTACGATGAGTTCCCACCAACGCGCCGCCCAACTATCCATTCTTCTATGATAGCTGGAAAAGTTGGTGCCATCTATGAGCGACGGCAGCAACCATACTGGTTGTGTGCTTGCCACCGTCACTTATAGATGGCGGTAGCTGTCCAGAGGAGTTTTTGTCGACAAGTGTCTCGTACCGAACACAATCCTCAGAAACCTAGCCCTTAACAGCTCCACTGTAAAAAATAGGTAAGGAAAAGGCAGTTTGTTGCCCATCGTCTGCTCACCGTCGCCTGCCGTCTGCTGCTGCTGCCCGAAGCAGACGGCTGACCGGCACTTCTGCTGCGGCTCGGTTTTTTCTTGCGCTGCTTCTTGCGCACGAGGTGCTTCTTCTTGTGCGCCCTGGCCACCATCTCCGCGTAGTCTTCGTCGCTGTCCTTTGCCTGGACCCTGTGGTTGTTCCTGCTCCGCAACTTCTGGCTGCTGCCCCCTTCCCTGCTGTCTTCCTCACTCAAGTCCTCCTCAATTTCCAACTCCTCACCATTGTCGTCGTCGTCACTGTCGGCAGTGTCGTCACCCTCGTCTTCTCCCCGTTGCGGCTGGGCGGTCTTGCGTTGCTTCTTGGGGGTCGACTTTGCGGCGGACTTCCGCGGCTTCGGAGTCTCGGCCCAGTCCGAGTAATCCGAGTCGCTGCGAAAGAACAGCGGTGTTTTGTGTGTCGATTGTGACCAGCTCCAATATTAAGGTGGTCTAGTTGGCTCGACATACTAAATATATAAAGCGCAAGAGACAGTCAACAAGGTAAAGAAGACCTGAAGCAGAAAGTTGTGATGAGTATTGCAGGCACTTATGACAAAGTCATAATAAAGATAAAAAGGTATCGAGATTAGCCTAAAAAATTAAGGCGCTCATTAGATCTACCGGCAAAACATCTCACGTGCAGAATGTCTTAGCGATATATATGCAGATCTGGACAATGTGACAGCATGATGTCCACGTCAAGTCGTGGTATCAAGCAACATCACGTGACATGGTCACGCGGCACGTCACGCTGTCCAAAGACTTTGACAGGCACCCAACGCTACTAGATCAGGCGACCTGGCGTGGCCCAAAGCACTTTATGCTGTCACGTGACCGCGTGACCCGTAGTGGTGCCAGCAGCGCGACCACATGATCTATAGTGGCACAAACCCTGTGACCCGCACTGGCGTCGCACTAGATCTAGCAGGAAGCTAACCAGCTAAATTTAGCCGACGACATCACTATTGCGTCGCTTCCCTCAATACGGTACAGCTACGACAATGCGACACAAACCAACTTCATTTTCGTCACAACGCGATCGACCCACGGCTCCATTTGCATTATTTTGGAGGTGTGTCCCTCACCTCTCACTGTGTTCCGAACTCTCCGAGAAGACCACTCCGGTGTCCGTGGTGGAGCTCATGGTGACATCGTCTGGGTCCTAGACAAAGTAACAAAGCATTTGAAGAGCACGACCACTGACCAACCTGCGTGTCCCTGCTGACGCGGTGCACTGAAGGCGGTTGAGTGCTGTGGCCACAGACGGAGTTAAAATGACGGGGCATGTTTTTTTAAGTGACCGACCCCTAGCCCGCGCACTAAGCTTTCTGCAGCGCTATGGCTGCGATCGTGCTGGAGGCGGGTCAACTGAAGATACCCCATCTTGTCAGAGACTATGTCAGAGACGTTCTCATCTTGTCAGAGACTATGGAATGCTTTAACAATGAGTAACCAGACCAAACTATGTAAAAAGTGGAAAAAAAAAATAACTGGTTTCAGCACAACAATCTTTTTTTAGGAGGTAGCAAACAATAACCACAAATTGAAGAGTTCTGGGTGGAGCACCATAGTCCACACACTACAAATTGCATGTAGTTTGTAGAGAAAAAAGAAAATGGAAGTGAAAAGCGTACCATATAAACTGGAATATAGGTCAAATTTATTTTTGAACATGTACCTAAAAAAGTTGACCCTCGTCTTGTATAACGGTCATTTATTTATTTTATTTATTCATATTACCCCTAAAGGCCCTCGTGAGAGGGTATTATATAGGGGGGGTACATAAATCGTTCCAATAGGAACTAGTGCACATTGAACAACATATGAGAATACTAGAAAACAATCAATACACTTAATAATAAAAAGAAAATAAAGGATACACTCAAAAACGAATTAAAAAAAACAAAAAAACATACACTCACTCATCACACTGCAATAAAGCTGAGTCAAGGTAAAAACAAAATAGTACACATTTGCTCTGCACGTTCCGGAAAAGATGAAACAACAATGTAAAACAGCAAAAGTTAGATGGCATCAGTATTTTGAATTTGTTCTTGAAACTTCGTGGTGTCTTTTTCTGAGGCAATGTGCGATGGTAGATTATTCCAATCGATTGTGGTACGTGGAATGAATGACCGGGAAAAGGCAGATGACTTACAGGTTATGCGTTTAACTTTGTAGGGGTGATCGCGACGTGGAAAAATAACGGCAGGTGGCTCGAAGAAATCACCGTGAAGTGACGCGTGGTGGTAAAGTTTATGGAAAAGAGATAGGCGTGAAAGTTTGCGACGATGGAGTAGTTCGCGGAAAAACAAAAATAATCTCGCAACACTGGGTGGCTGAAGCCACCGCCTTGTTTCTCTTTGCAATCGCCTAGCACTCGTCCACTTGTCACGTTACACTTTCACTTGTGCTCCTTGGTTTGTTACATCTACCGTTGCTGCTCCCGGAGTGATAATGAGCGGAAGTAGAAGACGCTGCTGGTGAGGCCAGGGACAAAAACTGGCGGCGTGCAGCAAGGCGAAGAAAACCTAATTTCGTGTAAGGACTACGGTGTACCCTGAATCGGAAACAAAGGTGGCAAATTTTATCCGGGACCTGTGCGCTAGATCGCTACCTGTGATGTCGGTGCATCCGTACGAAAGCCGTCGAGGTCGCTCGTGCCTCCGGGTTCTTGAGGGTGCCCTTTAAATTGCGTTAGTGAACTCGTCGTCCGACAAAGGTTCTGAAGAATCCGAGTAGTAACGCTCGCGCACTTCCTGTTCCATTGCGTGCGAAGCGATTAAATAAATGTGCCGTGTTTTCTCATCCTTCCGTATACTTGGTTTTTTGCCCTAAAAACGTTTTTTTCACTTTTTGCAACTTGCAAATTAGGGGGTCGACCTATATTCAAGTTTATACGGTAGGTGATTTCCACTTCCCTTAATAAGGAAATTTTAAAACTGAAACATCTAAAAAAACAGTGGCATGCATTATAATAGACTCTCATTAATTCAAACTCAAGGAAGTCACAAATTTTAGTTTGAATTATCAGAAGTTGGAATTATCAGAAATTCATCTAAATATGATACTAGACAGCATTATGATTTGTTACATGAATAGCTACACATACAAAGCAGATTTTTGCCAGTTTCCTCTACATAGGCCTAATAATAAGCGAGTAGAGGCATAACACATTGGTGAAAGAACTGAACTTTGTCTTTGCAGACGTCCAGAATACCGGGTGCGGACTACAGTCCGTAAGACGCATTTAGTGTATGTCGGGTATTGCGAGGATACGGGAATACAGTAGACCCATTAATTCGAGCTCCAAGGAGCCACGAATTTTGTTTAAATTATCGCAAGTTGGAATTATCAGAAATCCGTCTAAATATGATGCAAGATAAAATTATGATATGTCATATGAATGACTACACATACAAAGCAGATATTTAGTGATTTCCTCTCATAGGCCTACTGATCATAAGCAGGTATGCCATACATAAAAAATTTGTGAAATGTACAGTAGACTTTCATTAATTCAAACTCCAAAAAGTCACAGATTTTAGTTTGAATTATCAGAAATTCATCTAAATATGATACAGTTGAACCTCGATTTAGCGAAGTCACCGGGACCCCCTAATTATTTCGTTAAATCGGGAACTTCGTAAAGTCGAGAAAGACATTCTTCGAGATAGGCTGCGCGGGGAATCCGAATTTATTGTTAAATCGGGAAACTCGTAAAATCGGGTTTCGTTAAATTGAGGTTCAACTGCACTAGAAAACATTATGATTTGTTGCATGGATAGCTACACATACAATGATAATTTTTGCCAGTTTCCTCTACATAGGCCTAATAATAAGCAAGTACAGGCATAACACATTGGTGAAAGTTAAGTTTATTCATCCGGCAAAAAGTTGTCGATTGTGGACTGTTTAGTCTGTACACGAGATTTCAAAACAAAATTTTCAATACCAGCCAACGCAAGTAGCTCTTTACGGGACTCTTCCTTTGCAGACAGAAACTTCCGGAGCTGAGCGATGTACTCAAAGGTCTCTGCAGCTGTGACAGTTCGTACTGGGTCACCCCTTTCATTGTCCTCTTCACTCTCACTGCTGCACTGTGCTGGAATTACTTCCTGTACTATGTCCTCAAATGAGTCATCACGACAAACACACACATCGTCGTCAAGACTAGCATATTCCACCAACTCGGCGTTCACATTATGTGCTTCAAGGCCAGAAAGCAGGATGCCAGTGAGCTGTTCCTCATCCTCGATGTCGTCTTGGTCATCATTGCTAGGTGCAGTCTTGGCGCAGTCAGTGATAAAAGCAGAATGTCGAAAGCAGTTTTTTATAGTGTTTGCAGTCGCTGAGTCTTGTGCATTCGACAGCATGCCAATGGCAGTAAGAAGTGTGATGGTGTATGGCTTGTCATTGTCCATGCACAGCAACATTCTCTGTAGAAACTGCCTCCTGTAGTACACTTTCAAGTTCTTTATCACCCCTTGGTCCAGGGGCTGAAGAGCAGCTGTGGTGTTGGGAGGCAGAAACTAACTGGATTGCCTCCAGTCCCTCAATATGTCCATGAGCTGGGCAGTTATCCACCACAAACAGGACCTTCCTCTTGGCATGCTTAAATTAACCATCAAGCTTGCGCAGCCATTTCTCGAACAGAGCTTGGGTCATCCACGCGCGCGTGTTCGAAGCATACACAAATGGAAGCGTTCGGATGCCTCTGAAACATGTCGGACGCTTCGCCTTGCCAATTACGAAAAGTTCAGGCTTGTGACTTCCATCCATGTTTGCGCATACCATGACGGTCACCCTCTCTTTGCTCAGCTTGCCTCCGGTGTAGCGTTCACGACGACGACACAAAGTCTGGTTAGGCAAACACTTATAAAAAAGACTCATCTCGTCTGCGTTATAGATGTCACCTGGGGCGTGCTCCCGCAGCAGACACTGCAATCTTGTTTGCTGCCAGCTGCTGACAACGCCTAGATCCACCACTGCCACTTCACCGCTGACAGTCTTAAATGCCAAACCATGCCGTTCCTTAAACCGCGAGATCCAGCCATCACTGCACTTAAAGCTTTCTAAATTCATCCGTGAGGCCAGTTCATCAGCCTTTTCCCGCAAGATCGGCCCACCCACAGGAAGGTTGGAGCTCCGTGCTCGCTTTAGCCACAAGAGAAGTGAGTCTTCGAGCTCCGGGTGCACCGCTTTTCTAAGCCTCTTTTGGTTCGGTGCAAATTTGCTTGCCTTCTCTTGAAGCTTGTCCTTGGCTTTCACGATCGTTGTTAGCGTGCTTTTGGTGATGCTATATTTGAACGCCACCTCGGTTTTCTTCACGCCTGACTCAACTTCTTCAATGACAGCTAGTTTCTCCTTGACCGAAAGCGCTTTATACCTTCCACGTAAAGCCATGTCGATGATGAGGAGCGAAATCAAAGTGCGTTGCCGCCTAGGCCTAGCACACACGACATCGAAGTATCGAAGACAATGGTGGACTGGATTGGATTCGATAATCTAGCGGCTGCGGCTATGGCTTGTAACGTTGCCAGACAAGAACCGAAAATGGCTCCATTTAGACCATAATAACGTCGTACAGGAAAACGAAAAGTATGAATTAAGCGAAAACGCCGTTCGAATTAAGCGGCTTATAAATGCATTAAAAACATAGCGGGACAACCAAAATTTTAAAATCTCTTTAAATTAACCTCAAGTATGAATAATCCGAGTTTGAATTATCGCGAGCCTACTGTATGACATAAGTTTATTTATCTCTTAAAAATATTGTTTATCGTGAACTGTTTAGACAGCAGATCACAACTCAAAACAAAATTAACTTTGTTGATCAGGCCAAGAGGTTGTCTAATGTGGACTATTAAGCAGGGAGAACACATGAGCAATGAAAACTGGCACCGCGCGGCAGTTTTCATAGTAACTTGCGCAGACGCTGCGACGTGGACCTTTGCCATGCCGCCATGTCACAGCATCCGCGCAAGTTACTATGAAAATGTTTGCGTGGTGCCCGTTTTCAAAGCTCATGTGTGCCCACTTGAGCCCCGTTAAGTGCGCTTCTCATCGAGCACCGGTGCACCGCGGAGAAGCAACACCCGCGAAAGCACGCTCCACGAGTGTTGCTTCTCTGCAGTGCACAAGTGCTTGGGAAGAAGCGCA